CTTCTTCTTTCCCGACGGTGAGACACGAGCCCCGTTTACATAGGGCTTTCGGCCGGATAGGTCGTCAGAACTAACGAAATGTGTCTGAAATGTCTCGTTAGTAGAATAAATGTCTCGGTATCGGAATTCCACTATCTGGCAACGAGCCCTATGTAAACGGGGCTATTGAGGGCTGGCTCACGGTTCAGCAGCGAACGAACATCAACTAACATTTCATCGGCTTGAGATGACCACGAACCAAGACGTTTTACATTTTATGGGGAAAAATAATATTTATCGCAAACGTTGTATTTAGTATGTACCATGTAAGTGTGTTATCAATTCAAAAGGACTCACACGAGTGAGATAGGCAATACAAAATGTTATTCAACACGTATTTCATAAATTTGGATTGCTGATGGGAGATTTGGTAGACCAGTTTTCCGGAGCGGCGCGATGTAACCCTCCCGATGCCCCTGTTCCCGCAGTGACCCTGTACCCGATACTGAGCGGCATGGAGGCCAGGGACTTTGTGGACGACTACGTCAGCGAGACGCTGGTGCGCGGCCTGACCGAGCTGTGCAAGACCAAGCCGGCCGACCCGGTCAGCTGGCTGGCCGAGTGGCTGCTCAACAACAACCCCTACCAGCCGGTGCAGGGCGTCCACTAGTGGTCAGCGGCAGAGCCGCACCCAGTGCTACAGGGCGAGTCACTCATACGACATTCGCCACACCACGGTCGCCATCGCAGCGGTCCCTGACGATCTCAGAAACTTTGGTGATCCAGATTATACTGGTAGGAAGAGACCAGACTGGCCTCAGTCTGGCATTAGGTGAGTTCCCCGGTGAAAGCTGTGCGGACACTGAAGTGAACTATCAGACCGTCGCCTCAACTCTAACTACTGCCGGTGCCGCGCGACCGCCAATACTCACTGGCTTCGCCAGATGTGGTGCAGAGTGGGGTCAAATGTCGAGTACCTTTGATTGCAAAAAAAATCGAGGATATGCTACCTCACAGTGTGTTAAATCCTCTCTTTTGCGGCCTAGAACGTCAGTGAGACCCTTTTAACGTTTGCGTTACTGCTTACACGCTACACGACAGCTGTGATCCGACCTGTGGATCGCCGCTCCAGCTCAGAAATATTTTTGCGTCCTTATTCTGTCTGTGATAAAATATTCATTGTCTGTGATAAAATGCATACACATTGTCACATCAGCCGTGTGTTCAAAGGAAACAAGGGAAACTATTTTCGAATCTTTTTATTGGATTCTTTAATAATAGGCCTATGCTAAGATAGCTCGTTTTAGTCATATGGCTAGAAAAAAAAAACAAGGTGAGGGTTCAATGTGGAAAGTCCCGGCTGAAACAAAAGCAAAACAATGTGCAATGTGCACTAAACTCATAACTCAAAATCCACTGCGCAGTCGCAGAGGCGCGCAGACCCCGTCCCGGTTAGCCGATGGGACACCTGGGGCCCGTACAGGATGTGCAGCTGTAGAACGGCTTGCAGTAGCACGGCGGCGCCGGCTCTGGCGGCCGCGGGCACGGCGGAAACCGCACCTGACAGCGCTCCCCGACCGGGCACTTGTTGGGGCAGCCGGTGGGGTAGCAGCAGTTGCCGCGGCTGTCCCGGCGGCAGGACGAGCCGGCCGCGCAGTCTCTGTCCGTGCGGCACTCGTCAACGGGCTTCTTCTGACAGGTGTACCGGTCTCGTCCCTCGAGCCCGCCGGCCGGCACGCAGCGCTCGTTTGGTCCGCAGGGCGGCTGACAGCGCGACTGGCAGGCGTAGCGCCACTGGCAGAAGCAGGGCGGAGAGTAGAGTACCGGTCTGGCGCACTGCCCCGCTGTCGGCGGCACCTGACGACACACCTCGTTGTCGGCGCACTTGCGGGAGCAGGTGTACTGGCGGCAGCAGTTACCGCGAGCGTCCGTCTGACACCGGAACCCGGGCGGGCATCGGCGCGTACGGGAGCACTTGTCACGCACACACACGTGCTTTCTGCTGCCGTTCGGCTCGGGGGCGCCCGAGCTCAGCCCGCAGCGCAGACCCTGGCCGCAGGGCGGGTCACATTTCAGCACTTTGTTGACACACCTGAACCCCATCGGGCAGTAACATGGTGGCGGCTCCCAATTGACCATATGGGGGCACGAAGACAAAACAGCCTCACACCTCTGACCAGGACCACATCTCGGAGCACAGGTATTTGGCGTGCAGCAGTTACCTCGCCTGTGTTTCCTGCAGATTGATCCAGCTTTACAGTCCGAGTTCTTTTGGCACTTGTCTGTCACGCACATGTATTTCTTTTTGCTAGTAAGTATAGATGTCGAGGGGAGCAGCTCGCAGCGCTGTCCTTTGCGACAAGGTGGATTGCAAGCTGACACACACCTGAGCAGCGGCGGGCAGTAGCAGGGCGACGCGTCGGCCGGCGGCCGGGCGCACCGGCGCAGAATCTTTTGACAGCGCTCGCCCCGCCGGCACTTCATGGGACACTTGGTCGGGTAGCAGCAGTTGCCTCGTGAGGTCTTCCTGCATACGGAGCCCGGATGGCAGTGTAGGTTTTCGTAACACTCCATTGGCAGTTTTTTGTCCTTGCAGGTGAAGCCGTTGTCGACCGAGCCGTGTGTCAGAAGCTGCAGTTTCCCGGTGCGGCTGGGTGGTTTCGCCGGCTGACCGGGGGGACACCACTGGCCGGGACCGCACGGCGGGTCGCAGCGCGTCTCATTAGTAGAGCAATAGCCGTACCTTGAGGCGGGAACTCGTACACAGACTGTAGGCGGGCAACACCCCCTGTTGGAGATGCAGAACTCGCGCGGCGCCAAGGCACAAGGGTCGTACGGAGCTCCGGCCGAGATCGGACCAGTCAGCGTAAAGGTGACCAGCAGCAACAGGGCCGAGCGAGGCCGGCAGCGCGACGGCGGCATGGTGTAGCACCGGTGGCCGGGGGCCCTCTGACGGCAGTCGCGGCGCCGATCGGCGGACACGGACCGTCATTATCCCGTCAGCCAGCGGCCGCTGACGGCTCTGACCGCCGCGCCGACCTTTGGTGAGCCGACAGGGCCGCGTGTGACATTTGCCACGCGCGCTGTGACGGTGGTGCGTCACAGGCTGCAGGTCACGTGCAGCCTGTCTGTAGTGTAGGGGCACCGACCGGCGACAGCACGTCAACTAGGCCCGTCGGATCCCTGCCTTCACCTGATGACTGATACAGGGAGGCGCCGAGAGTGCCTGTGCGGCAATGGCCATGCCTTCGTGGGTGTACTTTACTACATGAGGGCTTACAAAGGCTTACATTACCCTAGGTGTGCAAAATACTACCACCGGACTCCCACCGGATGGCGAGATGTCGGCCGCCGCGCCCTGGCCGGGGCAAGCGAGACCGACGTCCAACCAAGACAAGACCATCCCACCGTGGAGCCAGCATGAACAGGTCACATTCTGCCTGGACGTCGGCCCCGGCGGCCAAAGAACAGCTCCCGCGGAGGGGGATATACGGAGGGGGGGGGGGGTGGAAGCCACTTAGGAACTCCCGCCGTCCCGCGCAGCCTGGATCTGGGTGGACTGCTCAGCGGCGGATGGCGTCCCCCGGGGCGGGGGCGGGCCACCATCACCCTCCCGTCGGGAGAAACTCGGGAGTTCCCAGTCGCTACGGGCCAGGCCAGCTCTGCTCCAGCACGCTCCTGTGTGCCGAGGAGGTGGCCCAGGACACCATCCGTGATCGGTCATGCCGACGCCGACACTGCAGACAGCTCAATAGTTATCTGCACCGACTCCCAGGCCACCTTGCGGGTGCTGGAAGGCGGGTTCTCCTCCCAGACGTCCCGCCATGGGATCTCCATCTGGGAGGACCTCCTCGCTCTCTCTCGCCGAGGATCAACCATTCGCCTTCAAAGGGTCCCTGCGCACGGCGACCTGCAGGAAAATGAGAGGGCCGACGAGCTAGCCAAAGAAAAATCTGGCCTGGCCCAGGACAGCAGCAATAGATGTAAAGACACAAACGAGGGCCGTCGCTCGCTGCGCCTCCCATCGCTAGCGGCAGGACTGGCCTCTTCAGGGACATCATGTGCTACCAGCAGTGCAACTGCAAGCCATGCCCCGCAGCCCGCTGCCGATCGTCTGCAGGGAGGGCGCCGACACTCCGCCGAGCACGTGTTACTCAGGTGTCCGTGCCTAGCCGGCGCTGGCCTGCGCCACTCACGGACAATATTAGACTGCGGCCCACTGCGGCCTGCGGCCTAAGTAAGGGACGGCGAACTGGTGGCGGCCTTGGTTGGCGGCTACCTCAGCCACAAGGCTGAGGTAGCCGCCAACCAACACACAAGGCACAAGGCATAAAACTTTTTTAAAGCTGCTAGATTGAAAAAGGGCGATTCATGGCATTACATCATTGCGTGCATTGCAGCCTGCAGCCAAGATTGCAGCAAATGTAGGTATTGCATTCATAAAAAATCACAACAAAATGTTTTTGTTCAAATCAGCGTATCTCCCTAGTCCTAGACAGTGGTCATTATCACGAATTTTCAGTTAGAACAGCACACAGGGATCGGTATTGATTTGTCATCTCGATATATGTGACGGTCGTCGGTCAGACAGTCAGTTATTATCCACTGTCCATTGGAGCTCTGGCCTCGGACTAGCAGCCCGGTCCCGCAGTCCTTTTTTTGCGCATGTTGTTGTTTTTTATGCTTGTTCCAAATAGTGCGCTTCTAAGACATTCTCTAACGCATAATTTTTATAACTCTGTTCACTGAGATAATAGCTGCGAGCGATATATTTTCTCGGAAGAGGCAATACATCAACCAAAAGAGATAAAATTTGAAAATTGATTAAATGATCCATGAAATTACAATTTTGTATTCCAATTCAACGAAGGAAATGCCAGAAAAGTGTACGTTTTGCATGTGTTTAAATAAATGCTGCCCGTGACGTCAGCGAACCAATTGCACTAACAGATGTCAGCAGTGTCAAATCGAACAGAACCTTTATGAAAATCGTGAGCCTTGCAAGTTGCATCAAAAACATTAGTTGAAGCAAAATAAAAATCCTCAGAACCCCACGGTACCTATGTGATATATTGGGTGGGTATATTGATATTGGGAACTCAAAACCCTTTCACTGCATGCATGTTAACAGCTTGGATAAACTACCAAGTAAGTAATCCATGTAAGTAATACATGGTTTGGGTTGTGGTAACAGTTTCACATGCAGTAGATGGTCACATTGATATTGTCCTAACATGGCCTTCTCTCCCCAAATGTCATCTCAATCTGGCTGAATAAAACATAGGGTAAAATATGTGGAGCTCTCCAGTGAGGCTCAAACTCACTGCTCTTACTGCCAAGCTATGGGATGGACACCTTATCCACTAGGCCTTACTACATAGCCAGACTGGAAAAAATACACGTTATGCCGAATATTTCCGGCGGAGTGGCGGGATTGCGCCGAAAATTTCAGAGCACGTCTGGCGTAACTTCGTATGTGCCGAATTCAGCGCATAGCGGCAGACAAATTTTTCGGCGCAGGGCGATCGCATATTTGTTTGGGGGGCGAAAGACAGTCACCGAATTTATGCAGTACGCTGGTCAATCTAGCAGCAGATTCGCCCCGCGGGCGGCTCTGGAGAGGCTGCGGGATGATATGTCCCCGCCCGGTCGTCGTGTGCTCAAACTGGCGAGCCACTCTGAGTCTACTCAGCGGAGGAACGGCTGTCCAGGTGAGGCCTCAATCTTTGGCGTAGAGATAGGTATGGAAAACCTTGTTGAATGTCGCCAAGCGTCGTTAAGCAATAGCAGTGGGTTCCTGCCCACTGCAGTATCGGGAATGAGAGCGCGGACGACCTGGCAAAACAGGCGGCCACCCTGCCCTCAAACGCCCGATCGCTGACCAGGGCGGTTCATTGTGCTGCCTCGTATCAGTGGCGCGACAACTGGTTCAAGTCACTATTCAAGCTACTCCGCGGGAACACGCCGCCGCTCCCTATCCCGGATAGGACCGAGAGTATGCCATTTCGGTGCACCAGATGAGGGCGGGCCACTGGTGCTGCTTGCTCCAGTACGGCACCGAATCGGCTGTCTCCACTCCGCCACGTGCCAGCAGTGCCCAGACAAGCGGTGCCCAGCGGTGCTCTGCACCGTGAGCCGGGAAGAGGGTGATGTGCCGGAGCACGTGCTGAGCGCCCGGCCCTCGCTGGCTCCCGCCGAGGTATTACCGTATTGGGTTTACGTGGAAATAAACTCATTCGGACGCTCAAACATGGGAGAGCGTACAAGGTCCCGAAACACTCTGTCTGGTTGATATAGCCTTGATCAGTAGATTTGCACATGTGCTTTATATGAAAAGGGCTTAATTTTCGCACAAATAGGCACCTAATTTTTGGCGCAAATCACGCATAAATTTCTGCGCAAAATCGCTTGCGCCGAATTTCGGCGTAAGCGGGTCTCACGGGCGTCCGGCGTAGTGTATGGATGTTTTCCTGTCTGGCTACACAGGGGACTACATATTGACTTAACGCATTCCTTTTCAGCCATGACCATCAGCATCTCCATCTGGAACCTGAAGTAAATGTCAGGCTCTGCATTAGTCAGAATGGCTGGTGCAATGTGAAAGCACATGAAATTGAAAATGTTGGGCAGGAAGCCAAGCTTGAGAAGTGAGCCAATTCTTTCAGACTATGGTCCTGATGAGTCACTCAATGAAAATGCAGATATTGATTGGGTCAACAAGGTATGTCATTCTTTTTTTACTCTTGGTGTATATGTTTCAAACAGGTGTTTTGTTGCATTGTGATCAATGTCTTCTGTTTAACGTGAATTGTTGCTTTGTTAATTTTAATTTTATTGCTATTTTAACATCGTTATATTCCATTTTGCAATGTAACAATGTTCCTGATGGCCTAGCTGGCCATGGTCCTCTAGCTGTCAAGGACTTCTGTCAACTGTGTACTGTCCTCTGTGACTGACAGTGCCATGTCACCTTATTTCCGTCCAGGTATGGGTACGCCACCTGCTGCGGCTCTGTGCTCTGCTCAGCCTGGTCTCGGTCAGCCTCAACACTCCAAAGACATTTGAGCAGTGGCCAGCGCTGCAGCTCATTACCTTCATCGTGGACGTGTTTGTCACGTGCATGTTCACGGCCGAAATGGTGGCCAAGATGCACATCCGTGGCCTGGTCAGCGTGAGTATTTCTGTGCAGTCACTGAGTCACGAAACTGTTTGCGGTGTCACATTGACTTGCGTGAGAAGTGAACTGACAGAGCACCTTACTGAAATTTGTACCATATTTATAGAACATTCTTTAACAGTCCAAAACATCTTGTTCTGCCGCTTTCATTGTGTTTGCTGCCTGTTTATCCTGTATATGATGTGGACTTCTTTCTACCTGTCCAATGATGGTGGAGCTGTGTAATTACAAGTTGTATCATGTGCCACACAGGGCGACAACCCGTACCTGAAGGACCATTGGTGCCAGTTTGACGCAAGCATGGTGTTCTTCCTCTGGGTATCGGCTATACTGCAGGTGAGATGGCCTGTCTGACCAAGCTGAAATCCTTATCTGACACATATAATTGGCTTTAGCCTGAGGGAAGAAAGTGAGTAGCGTGTGTGTCAAGTGGTGCGTGTGATGGCTTCCGTAGCATATTACTTGCCCACATTATTCGTCGGAAACGGGGTTTTTATGGTAATGTGGTACGTTATACATAATGTTTGGTGTGTTTGAATGGGTGATTGATTACATGTCATGCCATCGCTTACAATTCAGTGCGATCCGACTCGCTCCTCTCGCTGGAGGCAGGGATGCCAGTATGATCTCACTCGTGTCTGCCGCCTGCGGCAGGTGTTCGAGCTGACCAGTATGGTGCACGTGCACACGTACCTCTCCGTACTGCGCGCGCCACGACCGCTCATCATGGTCAGGTTCATCCGCGTCTTCCTCAAGTTCAGCATGCCAAAGAGCCGAATCAACCAGATCCTCCTGTAAGTAGAGCCCATGCCCCATCGCCTCGCTTAGGGAGCACCCATATAAACAGCATGTAATGTAGTGGGCGGAATATCAACAAGGAGCGAAGTTTATTGTGAGTGTTCCTCCACCCGCGTCCTCCAACCGTGATTACATTGGTTGTTATTCAACTTTCTGTCGTACGTAATGCGTTTTGTTATTCGGAACTTTTCCAGTTTGAGCCAAGTAAATGTTTTCATTGACGGCTCTCTGGACTTGATATGGGTCTGACTTCGGTGAGTGGTGGGGCGAGAAAGCTGGACCCTTCTTGGTCTGTTCGCGATGTCACCCAGCCCGTTACCGGCTACTCAAGCACATCTAACTTACCGATCTTTTCTCGGCCGGCAGCCGCTCCTCTCAGCAGATCTACAACGTCACGCTGTTCTTCCTCTTCTTCATGTGCCTCTACGCCCTGCTGGGGGTGCAGTTTTTCGGCAAGATGAACAATCACTGCGTGAAGAGCGGCACAGACCCCAGGTAGCTAGAGGTTCTTATGGTCAGGTCTCATGACGCCCCTGTTTCCGGGATCGAATCCCGTATTAACCGTTAGCTCAGGGCACATTCGCCAACGTAATGTCTTGTTTTCACAAATCGCGAGGGACAATTACGCTTATGCTGATGAACCGATCGCTAATTATACATTCGGCCAACAGACCTATGTATACCAGTAAGGGTATACTCGTATGCAGAGATCTAGGATTCGATCAAACTTGTTCCGTTGTAACGAAATAGTGAAATCTAAAACTGTCACCTACGTCTCAGTTCGCTGTCGTAGCGCAGCCTGCTTCTGCTGGTAACTCGGGGGCCTTACTGATGGATTCGTTCTTACAGATACGTCACCCTGAACGACCTGGCCATCCCGGACACCTACTGCAGTACGAGCGCCGGCTCTGGCTACCAGTGCCCGCCCAACATGACCTGTGTCACGCTCGACGACCCGCAGCGGTACAGCTCTTACAACGTCGGTTTCAACGGCTTCGACGAATTCGGTGAGCGTGGGGCGACGGACGGTTCTCGCGGGGAAGGGTGCGGCGGCTTTAGAGGAGAGTGGGCTTTGTATGCGGACGCAGTGAGCTTGTTTAGAATGACTGTTTTTTCGAAGCCTGTTTTATGCTTGTGATAAAGTTATGATATGTCTAGATGCTTGTGGTAGATGCCTGTACTTTACATCATATGATACTCTTTGCAACGTTACAAGCTTGCCCCTCTCCTCTTGAGTGGGATCAGCACACCAAAATGACCATCGTCTTTGGTAGCTGATTTTATCCCCTCGTGCTTCAGCGACCAGTATATTCACGGTGTACGAGGCGTCGTCCCAAGAGGGCTGGGTGTACGTCATGTACCGGGCAGTGGACTCGCTGCCCAGCTGGCGCGGCCTGGTCTACTTCACCACCATGATCTTCTTCCTGGCCTGGCTGGTGAAGAACGTCTTCATCGCCGGTAGGTGGTCCGATCGAGCAGAGGCAGCGATCTTGGCCGGGAGGGGAGCCGGGGTTGGGACGGGATCGGCTCACTCCAAGGGCTGATCGATACGGACTTATTTTGGAGAATGAGCTTGATGTGTTATACGCCGGGTCATTGTTATGACTCGCTTTAACAGTTCGTTTGAGTGGCAATGCTTTGCCCGTGTTGCAGTGATCATGGAAACATTCAACGAGATTCGAGTGCAGTTCCAGCAGATGTGGGGCACCCGCGGCCAGATCTCCGAAGAGTACACCACTTACGTGAGTAACATGCGTTGAGACTGTAAACTGACACCCACGGTTATCTCTCCGAAGAGTACACCACTTACGTGAGTGGGCTCCCGGGCTGGGGTGCTGTGGGGTGTTCAGTAGCGACTACCGCCCGTGGTCGAGACTCGGCTCCCGATCACGGTAAATTTGAAATACTTTCTGACTTTTGTGTGACTGCCGCTCAGACAATTCCCGACTTTGTGATTGTAATCGCTCTTTATGGCGTTTACCTGTTGAAATCCGTGTGTGAGCGCTGGTTATGGACGGTGGTGCGGCTGATATCGGTCTATTTATAGTCTGCTGTCACTGCTGCTCTATTTTTAGCGATCGGTGTTGCGTTTATCTGCTTGTCGATAGCTCCTTTCTGCTCCATTAGTGGATACTGCCTGCTCAACTGACGGATACAGTGCCTGTTCAATCGATGGCTGCTGTCTGACCAATTGACGCTCGTGGCGGCTGTTGTCTGACATCAGCCCTATTTATTGATGCCCGCTATCTGCTCCGTTGACTGCTCCGCTGACTGTTCCGTCGACTGATGCTCTGTTGACTGCTCCGCTGACAGCTCTGCTGACTGCTCTGCTGACAGGCTCTGCCCGTTCCTCTGACAGGTGCTGACGGACACGGAGTACGAACACGGCCAGGACGCTGGTGACGGCTCCTGCCTGACCGCTGACGGCTCGTTGCTGCTCTGACAGGTGCTGACGGGCACGGACACGGCCTGGAAGCTGGTGACGGCCGAGGACAGCGGCTCGCGCGGCTCGGCGCCGCTGCTACTGCAGCGCGTCATCCAGTCGGCCGGCTACCACCTGGTGGTCATGGCGGCCATCCTCACCAACGCCTACATCTCGTCCAGTGTGCAGTTCCTGCACGACGGCCGCTCCGTCACCGAGCTCTACAAGGACATCTACCCCATAGAGGTGGGTCCGTCACCGAGCTCTACAAGGGCATCTACCCCATAGAGGTGGATCCGTCACCGAGCTCTACAAGGGCATTACCCGATAGAGGTGGGTCCATAATCGAGACTATCTACCCGATAGAGGTGGATCGGTTATAGAACTACACAAAGGCATTACTTCTAAGCCAAGCTGATGGGACCGTATCCACCGACTAGCTTGGCATTAAAAAAAAAAAACATTAGTCCGTACTGCTGCCACGCTCGCCGCCGGCCATTTTTTTTCTGTTCCGATTTACTGACGTGCCGCCATTGACAGGTGGGGTTCACCATTTTCTTCGACCTGGAGGTGCTGGTGAAGGTGTGGTGCATGGGCTTCTCCACCTACTGGAAGCGCTCCATCCACAAGTTTGAGGCGGTGTTGGCCGTGGGCAGCACCTTCCACCTGCTGCCCAACCTCTACAACTCGGTCTTCACCTACTTCCAGGTCGGTCAGTTGTGACGCGATGTTACGTATCCTCGCCTCTTCTAAAATTAGCGCTTATATTTTACTGGTAAAGCCTTATTAATCACTTTTCAGCAGCTGTTTTGTCTTTCACTTATCAGTCTCTACTGTCTTCACATGGTGCACCTTTTTATGTGGCTAGGACTGTAACAAAACGATGTTCTCATCAAACCTCATTTTGAGTGTTTGGGATGGGTTGCCTTCATCAGGTCAGTTTGATATAGGTGCGACCCATTCTATCATGTAATTTCATTTAATTCATTACCCTGGCCAATTATTATTAATATCTAAACGGAAATATTGCGCCAAAATGATGGTCGTCAGTGCGCTGCTGATTTCCGGTCGTCGCTGCGGACAGGTGTTGCGTATCGTGCGGCTCATCAAGGCCTCCCCGCTGCTGGAGGACTTTGTATTCAAGATCTTCGGTCCGGGGAAGAAGCTGGGCAGTCTGATCATCTTCACCATGTGCCTGCTGATCATCACTTCGTCCATCTCCATGCAGCTCTTCTGCTTCCTCGACTTCCAGAAATTCGAAACGTTCCCGGCCGTGAGTTTGGGGGAAAAGTGTGATTGCATTTCTGGGAAATGGATGTTGGGAGAAAATTCGTTTTTATCTATCATCGTGTCAGGATGCTAAGGTAATTTGTAAGAACAAAGGAATTTATTATTTACTGAGGCCTTGTAATGCGAATTGAGATCAGGTGTGTGGGCGTATTGTTGCCCTACTGGTTGCGCTGTGCATTATTTGCTGCGTTTGTCGCCGTCTTTGTTCGATCCCTGATCATCCTTGATCGTTCCCGTGTCGCTGCTGTCGGCTCCACTGATGTGTTTTCCTTCCGCAGGCGTTCATGTCCATGTTCCAAATCCTGACCCAGGAGGCCTGGGTGGACGTGATGGACGAGACGATGTACCTGACGGCCAGCGCCATCGTGCCGCTGGTGGCCATCTACTTCATACTCTACCACCTGTTTGTCACACTGGTGAGCGCGGGATAGACGGGACCAAGGCCGTATATAGGGACGGGACTGGTTAGCGGGCCAGATGGCACTGACGGAGTGCGTGAGACAGGCCGGGGACTGGTCAGCGGGACCGGGTGACGTTTCTCTTCAGGAAACAAAATGGTAGCCTTCTGAGCTGATCGGTGACCATTTGCGTAACTGTGATCTCGCCTGCCAGCAAACTGAGTGTAGACTGTAGCTGTTACCATGGGTGTCCATTTCCGCCAAGTCGGGGGTGCCCGAGCTCTCCAAATTCCCCGCCGGCTCGGCCGGCTTGGCTTTGGAGCCTCAACAGACCGCGCGGGTCAAGGTCACCGCTAGGGCAGCGGCGGATTTGCTGCGCCCGGGCACCCCCCAACTCGGTAGAAATCGACACCTATGGCTGTTACAGTGATACGGCTGATTACAGCTGCAAATGGCTGACTGCGTCGATTAATGTTTGGTAGTGTGCTTTGGGTTTTCGTCGACGGTGACGGGTTTACGTTTTATGGAGTCTTCTAGTTGCTCTTAAACATAGACTTCATAAACTAAATTTATTTGTATCAGTACCTATTCCTAACGTTGTTATACTCGTGCTAGATACGTATTTTGATCCGTTCCCATCAATCAGCATTCTTTCGTTAATCCGTTGTTTTACGACCCCTTGCCGTCCACCTCTCAGATCGTGCTCAGTCTGTTCGTGGCCGTGATCCTGGATAACTTGGAGCTGGATGAAGACATCAAGAAGCTGCGTCAGCTGCGCGCCAGAGAACAGAGCGCCGGAATTCAGGTGGGCGCAGCCATGAGGTATGCCGCATGAGTCGAGGCAAAGTCAGGAATTAGTGCTATAATACATATACAGACTACAGAGCGGCCCGTTTTCACCGTGAACCGGCGCCGCAATTGTATCCTGTGCATATACATAGTCATACGAGTAGTTTATGTTGTAAGCAGTGCTGTGGCGACTTGTGAATGGCATATCATGTGTTGTTTTCCCGTGCCGCAGGAGACGCTGCCGCTGCGTCTGCGCATATTCGAGAAGTTCCCGGACCGTCCTCAGATGGCGCGGCTGCACAAGGTGCCGGCCGACTTCACACTGCAGAAGGTGAGTGGGACGATAGGGTCGGCGGCAGTTGTGTTAGAGGTCACGTGTCGCGGGGTGGGGATGTGGCAGAAGCTGGAACTTTTGCAGAAGAAACAAACACGGTGATCAGGTGTTATAATCCGGCTACAGTGCGCACAAAATGGAGATTTCGTTATATTCTGCCAAATGCGCAGTGAACATCGTAGTCTTAGTGCCAACAGTCAGTCGCTCACTCAATAACTGTCAACCATCCCTGCCCTGAACGCACCCCCATCCTCTCTGTCAGGTGCGGGAAAGTTTCATGCGTAATTTCGTGGACGACCCTTCTGAGGAGGAGGACAGCCCGGGGATGAAGGCCTCCAGCCGCGGCCGGGAGGTACTGGCCTACCGGCGCGCCCGCTGCCGCCAGCTGCTGCACAAGACCACCGCTGCCAGAAAGTCCGACTACAACCAGAAGAGCATCGGAGTCAGGGGACTGGTCGAGTAGGTAGCACCGGCCGTCTGAGGAGGCGGGTAGGGTGCAATAACATACTGCAAAACACACAGCTGAAGTAAAAAGCTGCCTAAAAAAACGTAATGATCCTTGGTATTTAGGCAGTGCTAGAGAGTATCGAATCGTAGGCACGGCACGGGTCTTTCTAGTCGGGGACAGTGGTAACTTCTAACGTATGTTTTACTCTAGGTAAGACAAATCAGCTAGCTTGAGGTGCATTATGTGACGATGCGGTGTGCTATGATGTTTCCGATGAACAGCGAATGCATGACTAATCAGTTTGTCCCGTGACGAGTGGAATCATGATTGCTTTGGGTTTATTGTTTCAGTAGGTCACAGTAATGTAACGGTAACAGCGGAATGGACTAGGTAAACTAGCTGTGCCATGTGTCGCTAGTCATGAGTCAGGTAGCTCGTATAATCATGCAGTGCTTAGTTGAGTTATGAATGGAGGTCCGATCCCAAACATCGATAATTCCTTATTCCTTGTGCTCTTTCAAGTTTTAATTCTTGTCATTTCCTTCCTTACCACCTCCGCTCTCCCTCCCCTTACCTCCCTCATTGCCCTCTGCGTCCACCCGGACCGCCCGTCCGCCCGGCTGGCTGACGGGTCCCTCCGCCGTGCAGTGACTGTAACAATCACCGCCTGCTGCTGGGCGACTCGGGTCAGCTGCCCACCACCGGCAAAGGCCTGGCCGCCAAGTCGCGCTTCGAGAACGCCAAGTAAGCCGGCCGACAGTGGTGCGCTGTCGCGCAGTCGTGAATGCTCCTTGCTAACACGCTGACTAATCCTGTACAGCAGATGTACGGCCCTCCAGTGTATTTAGTGGTTGGTTGCTAGCATCACAATAAGCGATCTGCATTGATTAATACGTCTAATGGCTGTTGAAAACCATTGCCGAAGTGTGTGCACGAACCCTCTTTTCATTTCTATTGAGTCACTTTAGAGGAGTGTCTCTGTCATTCAAAGTTATTACACCAAAAGCACATAGGCTAACCAACCACTCTTTTGCTGGAGGGCGGTACGCTATTCAGACTTACAGAACACCTCTGATCGGACTAAACTGCCAGAAAATATCTACATTTTAGTTCCGGTGTGGTTTGCTGAAGTGTGATGATTTTTAAGCCTCCCATCACGCATACACAGCTCCGACTGTTCCTGTTTCCACACTCGTCAATGCTGCATGACTGGGCACCGACGAGTGTGACACCGCATCACACTTTCTTAGGCTCAGTAGGATGTGGGGCAATGTTCCCATGTTCCTGATGACACTGCCCTAATCGCCAGTTTAGAGGCCAGCTGATGGCTGCATCATCGATAAACTTTCGTAGACCAAATCATCTGCAATGCGTTTGTCAGTTATGAGAGAACAGTTGAGTTGCATTGGTACTGGTTTCTTTAAGCGTAGAGTATGTTATGCAATGCTTGAGAAAAGTACAAACATCGTTTTGTCATGGCAGAGAAACCCATGAATGCTAGTTAAGAAGTATGAAATAATGATATGCCAAGGCTGCATTAGAAGTTACCAATTTGAATTCTCCATTGCCCGCTGACCCGATACCGGGTCAGGCTCCCCTGTCACCCCGTTTTCCCTGTGGCCAGGCCAGGTCTCCCCTGACCCTCTAACCCGATGACCTGCGCCTCAGGTCGATGCGTCGCTCGATGCGCGGCTCTCTGAAGGTCAAACAGACGTACGACCACCTGAAGGAGAACGGTGACGTGGCGGCCCTGAGCGGCGGCGGGTCCAACGCCCGCAACCCGCACGACTTCGACATCAAACTGCTGCAGGCCAAGCGGCAGCAGGCGGAGATGAAACGGTCAGTGGCGCTGTGCTGACTTGCCGGTCGTTCTGAACCCGAGAGCAGCCCGGTCCGGGCGCCGTGGCAGCCAGTTCTTCATTTGAATGTGGCTGAACGCGAGTGTAGTTCGCCGCGGGCAGGCGTTACTTACTATTCCGCGATTGTATGATTAACCACCTCGTACTACTAATGTCACCGATAATATCTCATTTTACCCATCGTTTGATCCATGCCGTTCCAATATGCCCCTTCTCATGTGTGCACTGGCCCGTTGTTTGCGCCAGCCTCTGGTAGAGTGACCTCTCTGTTTTTTCCGTGTAGTAACCAGCGCGAAGAGGATCTGCGGGAAAACCACCCGTACTTTGACACACCTCTGTTTGTGATCGGACGGGAGAGCCGCTTCCGTAAGGTGTGCCAGATGATCGTGAACGCGCGCTACAACGCCCGACAGAAGGACCCGGTCACTGGGCAGGAGCGCAAAGTTCGCTACAAGGGATTCCAGTGAGTATTGGTGGGTGGGAGTTTAGCCGGGGTGGTGTCTCATCGTCAGACATGGCGTGTTGGCCTGACGAGCTTCGGTCGTTTTCTGTACGCGCAGTATATGTGTGAATGAAGTGTGTATGAAGTAGCCGAATCGTTGACTACTACTTGGTTGTTTAATGTTGACTTCATATGTTAAATCGTTCATTTTCGCAGTAACCTGCTGGGCCTGGTCACCTACCTGGACTGGGCGATGATCCTCATCACCACAGTCAGCTGCGCTTCAATGATGTTCGAGTCGCCCTTCTTCAAGATCCAGGACAACTGGCAACTGCAGGTAGGTGTGGGTTTATCCGAATAGGACCTTACGGGACCGGACAGACTACACTGAACCGATTTGAATCGAACGGGCTGGCGGAGTCATATTTACATCCACCAGATGGGCTTCTGACATATTATTATCTTTGGCCGACTTTATAATCTTGACTGTAAGCCAATGTGACTCGTAAAACTTAGACTCGTGTCTGACGTTTCGGTTCCCGACTCTCCGTCAGGTATCTGAGTACCTGTTTGTGGTCGGCATGAGCATAGAGCTGGCGCTGAAGGTGCTGGCCGACGGCCTGCTCTTCACCCCAAAGTCACTCATCAGGGACATCGGCGGACTGCTTGACCTATTCATCTATGTGGTAAGGAGCTGTCGGACTGCTTGACCTATTCATCTACGTGGTATGGAGTGGATGCGGGGCGGGTCTGTTACGGGGGGGGGGGGGAGGGATCCACGGCGGAGTGGGTCCGTAGCAGGGTGATCTTGCCACGAGTGAAGGGATGCGTGGTCGATTAAACTGAATATTTCCCGTGGCTGCGGCTACTTGCCGCGGGAGGGTACAGCAGCCTAACGTGTCAGTCACTTTGTTTTAGTTTCTGCGCATCATGAGTGTCAGGTGTGTTATGCTTACGGTGCAGCTGAGAACAGGCTAATTCACTGTTTCTGGCTCTTTCAATTATAGGTGTCTCTGGTATTCCTGGCGTGGATGGCACAGCTGACATGTCACGCTACTCTCCGCCAGGTGTCTCTGGTGTTCCTGATGTGGATGGTATAGCTGACATGTCACGCTACTCTCCGCCAGGTGTCTCTGGTGTTCCTGATGTGGATGGTATAGCTGACATGTCACGCTACTCTCCGCCAGGTGTCTCTGGTGTTCCTGATGTGGATGGTATAGCTGACATGTCACGCTACTCTCCGCCAGGTGTCTCTGGTGTTCCTGATGTGGATGCCCACCACGGTGCCGCCCGTCTCGTGGGAGCAGCTACTGCTGATCGTCCGCTGTCTCCGGCCGCTGAGGATCGTCTACTTGGTACCGCACATGCGTACTGTGGTCCGGGAGCTCTGCAGGGGATTCAAGGAGATCCTGTTGGTCAGTGCGGGGACCCAGTCGCTGGGCGCGGATAGTCGGGTAATCTCAGTCTTTGGGATCCGGTTAACTCTGCAGCTAGTCAGTAGGGACAGACTCAGCTGAGTCGGCTGCGGGGTCGGGGCGGGGTCGTTGCCATTGAACAGTGCTGATATGGTCATGACAGTCACACCCTGTTCCTAAATATCATAGGTATGGCTGTATGGTAGTGGCCGGTTTTGGTCCGCCCTCACAATAATTATGCCACTTAGCTTTAATTCTGAGCCGACTCTCTGGATCCAATGCCGGCAGGTCTGACCGTGACCTTATGTCTGCCCCTGCCCCCTACATCCACAGGTCTCTGTGCTGCTGATTCTGCTGCTGTACGTGTTCGCCAGCTACGGCGTACAGCTGTTCGGCGGCCGCCTGGCGCGCTGTAACGACCCCGATCCCAACTACCAGCTACGGCAGAACTGCGTCGGCTTCTTCCAGCGCGAGATATTCGTCACCAAAATGAAAATCAGCCCGCGAGAGAACGAGACCTACCCGGTGATCCTGGTGCCGCGAGTCTGGTGAGTACAATTGCACGTCATTTGCGCGATACTGCGGTGGACGGCAGAAGCGTCAAATCTACAGGGCCTGTCGGGAGGCGATATGAAGGCTGCTCATTGTAAATAGCTTCACTGATTTCAGCTTAATTATTAATTTCATTTTGGTTTCTGCTATTGCCATTTGATACGACTTCGTGTCATTTTGCGCTGCTGCGGCCTGCCGTATCTACTGTGTCCCCACGTTTTGTGACGTCTGCCACGTGTGCTTGGTCTCTTACAGGGCCAACCCGCGCCGATTCAACTTTGACAAGATCGGTAACGCGATGTTGGCGTTGTTCGAAGTGCTCTCCTTCAAGGGCTGGCTCGACATTAGGGACGTGCTTATCAAACGACTCGGACCGGTCAGTACTAACTAAGGGATCTAAAGGCAGGAAACTGTCTTCATTGCAGTAAAAAAGTTATTTAATTCTACATGAAAATGATTAATGAGTCATTCGCAGTGTACGTGCGATGTGTTATTTCACTGCGGAGCAGGGACTGACCGATTGCGCGCTTTCTCTACCAGGTGCAGTCAATCTACATCCACATATTCGTGTTTATCGGCTGCATGATCGGTCTGACGCTGTTTGTCGGCGTGGTGATTGCCAACTACTCTGAGAACAAGGGCACCGCGCTGCTCACCGTCGACCAGCGCCGATGGTGAGTCTAACGGACCCCGGGCAGGTGTGCTTAGTATCCCACACGGGTTTTTGTTGTGCTCTCAACATAGCCGTCCTTTGGGCTAGTATCGGACATATCCGCCACCGCCACCCTCGTCCTACCTTTCTGCTGACGACGGCTGCCCCTGTCCATCAGGTGTGACCTGAAGAAGCGTCTGAAGATCGCGCAGCCGCTGCACCTGCCGCCGCGTCCCGACGGACGACGCTGGAGGGCCGTCGTCTACGACTTTACGCAGAACATCATCTTCAAACGGTTCGTCGCCGTGCTGGTCATCATCAACAGCAGCCTCATTTGTGTTCAGGTGAGAAGCGACTCATCAAATTGGATTTCTATTGACTGCCCTGTTACAAGCATCGTGGCAGCGGTTACAGGGTAGGTCCGTCCCATCAGGCTGGAAATGCTACATCATAGGAGACCCTCCCCGGACAGTCCGGCGGCACATAGCCACATCAGATAGAGTGGAGATGGGACGCTGAACAAAGAGACCTGGGTTTATTTTCGCATTATGTCGGTCCCTAGTAATGAGACTTCGCTCAGCCATGGTACACATGTCTTCATCCAACCGTTTTTATGTGACGCGTCACCCAATAGCGCACTGACCGTTTTAAAGTGGCACTGCGTTCATCATACACACTACACATGACTCATGTGTGCATTTGACCGCTCTTTATTTGTTCTCAGTGGGTCTACGCCCAGCGGTACACGCTGTATCTGTTGTTTGTGTTTATTTCCAGTGGGACTATGCTCAGCCATAAACGAGTGGTTAATCATTGTTCATTTATGTTTATCCCCAGTGGACTGCGCCCACCCGTAGAGACTGTTGAACTAACTGTCCCTTTTTTATTCTCAGTGGGATTACGCGCAGCCGTACACGCGCTATCTGGCCGTGGTGTCGTCCATCCTGAACCTGTTCTTCATGATGGAGGTTGTGATGAAGATGGTAGCCTTCTCGGCGCGCGGCTACTGGCAGTCGCGCCGCAACCGATACGACCTGTTTGTCACCGTGCTGGGACTGGTCTGGGTCATCCTGAACTTCACCTTCCCAATGGTGAGTGACACGTCTGCCAGTGACGCTTCCATCGTGAGTGAGCGGGTCGGTGTGGTACGTATGCAACTCGTACTTTGCTCGTTGATCTGCTTTAGTTTGAACCGTGCCCTGTCGGATATAGGTACTGAATTTAGTAAGCTGTATTTGCAGTCAGTCATGCTACCGCCATGACCCGGTTCTCTGTCTTCTTTCCAGTCTAAGGTGCAGAACAACTACACCAACTCTTTGGGCTTCATCTGCATCATCCTGCGCTTCTTCACCATCACCGGCAAGCACGCCACCCTGAAGATGCTGATGCTGACCGTGGTGGTGTCCGTCTACAAGAGCTTCTTCATCATCATGGGCATGTTCCTGCTGCTGCTGAGCTACGCGTTCGCCGGCACCATCCTCTTCGGCACGGTCAAATACGGCGAGGGTATCGGCAGGTGAGACGCGGTGCTACTGCAGCTCGTGTTGTCCGTGGGAATTAAAGCAGCACATATCGGAACCTCGGACTCAACTTTCGGGATGGTGACGCTTCACTGCTGATGGTAACTGAGAGCCACTGTAGCTCGTCATTGCTAAATATTGTTGCCATATGGTGGTTTATATTTTTGACGAATGCGTTTTTCAGTATCATGTTTGCAGTTCTTCTGAGTCTGATGCTTCCTTGGTCGTCCGTCTTACAGACAAGCCAACTTCAAGACGGCTCCAAGCTCGATCGTGATGCTGTTCCGCATTGTCACTGGCGAGGACTGGAACCAGATAATGCACGACTGCATGGTGGAGCCTCCGTCTTGCACGGTGGCGCGTCCACCCGACTACCGCACCGACTGCGGCAACTTCACCGTGGCGCTCGTCTTCTTCTGCTCCTTCTACGTCATCATCACCTACATCGTGCTGAACCTACTGGTGGCCATCATCATGGAGAACTTCAGCCTGTTCTACTCGAACGAGGAGGACGCGCTGCTCAGCTATGCCGACATTAGAAACTTCCAAAACACGTGGAATGTGGTGGACAAGAACCAGCGCGGCGTCATACCCGTCAGGAAGGTCAAATTCATACTGCGACTGCTGAAAGGTAACGAGGAATGATGGACCCCTGTAGAATGCGCACACAGCAGTGTTTGTTCAAGTCATTGAGTTTCAGCTTATGCGAAGTTCTGTGCTTCCTTTCCGTCTGCACAGTGCACACGGCATGGGATATTTGTTCATTTAAACCGACTTCCTTGTCCTCCTGAACTTTAATGAATTCCCTGTCACTCGTCTGCCGCGCAGGCCGACTGGAGGTAGACCCGCAGAAGGACAGGCTGCTCTTCAAACACATGTGCTACGAGCTGGAGCGACTGCACAACGGAGACGAGGTCACCTTTCATGACGTGCTCAACATGCTGAGTTACCGCTCGGTCGATATCAGGAAGAGTCTGCAGCTAGAGGAGCTGCTGGCTCGCGAGGAACTCGAGTACATCATTGAGGAGGAGGTGGCCAAACAGACCATCCGACAGTGGTGAGTGGCGGGACAGTGGGAGACTAGGGAGGACAAACTCCACGGTGCCTGGTGGCATTGATGACTAATGTATTCGCCCTGACATTTAATCGCATTGCGAGTAGAATTAGCTTCAGCATTGCTGAAAAACGGAAAATCGTAGTCAGCCTAAGCTGCTCTCGCGATCCAACAGACATCATCAATGTTGGAATTTTCTGACCCACTCCTCACTTCGGTGGGAAGACTCCTCACTTTGGTGGGTGGACTCCTCACTTCTTCAGAATCTCACCCGCTCCCGAAGTTCTACCAGAATCTGACTCGCTCACTGACCCCGTCCTCCTGTTCTGTAGGCTAGACGGCTGTCTGAAGCGGATCCGCGCTCGCGAACAGAGCAGTCTGATTGCCGGACTGCGGGCCACCAACGAACAGGCACTGATGAGACTCAACGAGGAGCGAAAACAGGAGCGGGAGAAGGAGGAAAAAGAGGTAAGTGGGAAATAACGTACTCAAGCGAGAGATGAAGCAAAGGGAGGTGGTTTAGGAAGAAGGAGCCAGTTTAAGTCGAAAGGGTGCGTGGCGGGCGGGCAGGAGCGGGAAAGACGCTGTCTGGAGTGAACGGTCGGTACCTGCTGGCTCGGATCTTTAATATATTTTGAAAAAAAGATTACGCATTGTAGTCGACTACTTGATCTCTAAGTGCATTTGTTGAATTGTAATCGAATTATCGTCTCCGTGATACCGCCTGATGACATGAGGCGCTGTTTGAAGCGCTCCAATCACCGTCCGACGCCGGCGACTCCCAACCACACGGCGGTAGTGTCCAACAGCCGCACAGCCGTGACTCCCAGCCGCACCCTCTCCCCGGCGGACGGACCGCCACTATCAGAGGAGCAGGTGACCTGGCGACCGCCCTGATACTAACTAACAATAATACGGACCGGCAGCTGGAGAGCCAAGCCCGGCGTGTGCAGCTTCGCTCCAGCTGTGTGAAACAACTACCAGCGCGCGGTGCTTCGCAGTGTGATTTGTACAGTCCACGGCGTCATTGCGTTTTGGAACCGACTCGGAGACTGCTTTATAACGTCATCCAGCGCGAGAAAGGAATCTGAAGATGCAGGCTATCATTCTACATCTCTCGTTTCAGTATGATGATTTAACTCGTCCCAGCTCGTATTCTATGCAACCAGCCCTGATCAGTAGCTGGTATATTAGCTTATGATCACTTCCGCTGACTTTGGAGGCTTTTAGGGATAATTTTGGTTGTTGGATTTCTTATCGCGCGCTCAATCGTTGCGGTCGATTTAGTACCATGCCAGATGCCGCTCTCTTCAGGCTTCAGCAAGCTTTGCCCAGGTTCCGTGCTTTTGTCCGTCCCCAGCTGCCTCACCACTTTCCCGCTGATCTGGTTTGTCTGGATATCTATTAAAATAACCTCATTTTCACATAGTGCTCTCGCGTCCAGCTGCTCCATCTACCCCATTGGGATGTCTGCTCTCAGCTGTGTTCCCCATTCCCCAACTAATTAGATGTTCCGTACCCCTAGGAGCCCAGTGAGCCGCCCGCCCGCCAGCGGAAGAAGGGTGTGTGTATGGGCCGTTCGGACTCTGTGGGCTCCGCGGCCAGGAAGTTCCTGACGCCGTCCCTGAGTGACGCCACCGCTACCAAGGACAAGGAGCGGCCCGCCGGCAAACGCAGGACGCGCTCCGTCGGTGAGTGACGCTCCCGCGGATGGTCTGACACTGTCGCTGCCGGTCTGTGCTAGTTGCAGAGCCGCTGACGTGGTCTAACTGCTGTTAGATGGTCTATATGACTATATGACTATATGAGGGTCTATACTCTATATTATGACTGCTGCCAAGTGGTGGTATGCTTGGCCAGTTTGTGCTGCCATGTATTGCAGAACGTATAACCGTAGCTCCTATCACTGAGGGGGTAGCAGGCGACCCGCGTGTCCTACTTTCTACGGTCTTGTACTGTCAAACGGCTGACTGTTGATCGGTCACTGCCGTCGGCTCGTCAGTCAACTTCGGTCAGTTTTGCATTTCAGACGGCCTTGATTGGAGCTACTGCACCAGTCAATTAGCCTGCTGCCTGCACCGGTGCATTGGTTAAGTGTCGATCATGACTCGCCAGTCCCCAATGTCCGTTCCCCCGGTCTAACTCCGTTTCTCCCTCCATTCGCCGCAGTGGGCAACAAGTCCCTACCCGACGTGAACGAGGCGGGCGAGGCCGTGGCGCTAGCCTCCCCGGGCAGCCCGCGGCCGGTGGGGGGTGCGCCGCCGGCCGCCGCCGCCTGGGGAGACGTATCCACCTGGTGGCTCGACCACTGCCAGACTACCGGCCACGACGACTCCGCTTCCGTGTGACGGGATCCTGCTCAGAGCTGAGTGGGGTGGGGTGGCGGGGATCGTCTGGCGTTTCAGAAGAGATTGGGACCTGTTGCGAGGTATGACTGTGTCTGGCCACTGTAGTGGGGACTTTGAAGTTAAGTGAATACTGTGTAACGTGGTAGGAGGTACTACGATGTGCGACAGGGCATGTCAGAGGGAGTAACACGTCACGAGATGGTACTGTGGCGTTTCAGTAGGGACTGTGCAACCTGCCAGTAGGACCCTCACTACTAGAGGCCTTTGTGGGGGAATGTCCGAGTCCACTATGAATAGTTTTCGGGACCTCTTAGCGACGGATATGTCGGCTTTCAGTAGCGCAAAGGCGCAAACCTGGGCCCAGTGGTTGGACCCCATCAGATGCACAAGTGTCAGTGTTGCACAAGAGGACCGGTGTCCGGCCCTGCCGGCCCTATTTAGGGATGGATGGGTCCAGATGCTGCCCCACTGCGGCCATAGCAGACGAGCGGGGGCGGTAGCCGGTCTAGGGCTCCTGAGGCAAGATAGGATACGTCCGCTTACGAGGGGCGATGGCCGCAAAGTGGAAAAGATGACAGCCGTCACATAGCTTATGTAGCTGTCTATAGCCGTCCGTGTTCTGTTGTGTCGCGAGCTTCAGAGATGCCGGTATATTGTTAGCAATTGCCAAAACCGAGCTTAGCTATGTGTATTGTTTATGTTGCGATGTGTGGGCACTGGGCAGTCCAGTTGACCTGTAGCGGCGACCGCGAGGGTGTCACCGCCGTGATTTTCCCTCGGCCGTGCACGGATACGGGAGAAGCTATGTGTATGGAGGCGGGTTATAGATCGACCCTGATCACATATATGATTTGGTGGTTGATGTTTCTCGATTCAGAGTACTATTGGAAAGGTACCAATTTTACATGCTGTTGGAATGTTGTTGTAGTTCAGTTATGTCAAACGTGGTGCTATATTTTCTCAGTGTTCTTTTGTGATTTATTGTGACTTATTTACCTTGCATTATTTTATTTTGATTTAACTATCGTTTTTTTCACAGCTGCATCGTCTTATCGTTGTGAATTGTTTGCAGTCTCTTATGTGCCAGTGTGCTGTCAAACAAGCTCCACATCTCTCGTGCTATCCGTGAACCTCTGGGCAGTCATCGTCTTCGCTTGCCGCCAGTTTAGTGTGTAGTATTACGCACAAGATGGGGAACAACTGACCAAAGTCATGACTCAATGAGTCGAGGCATAGTGCACCGCTATGTAAGATGCTGCGACTGTGTTCTGGAAGCTTGACGCTTCTCTGTCGAACTGAGCTTACCTGTCATCAATGTGCCAACAGTGTAGAAGATGCTTTGTTATTTTATTTATTTATTTATATACATGATTAATTTAAGTTTGTAACAACCACTGCGTGATCTCGACATCTCTTGAGATCTTCTTGCACATTCTCCAAGTCTAGTCACAACTCTCTAGTCTGATGAGGCTGTTTGCTACGGATGTCGCTGTTTTGTTGTCTTGTCCAAATACAACCGAAATATCACATGCTCTTTCGCTCTTCACAAAGCCTGCCAATCATTCCGTGCTTCTGTCGCGAGTCTCCACTGAGTGAGCGTCCTGCTGCGTCTCCGGGCCGGTTGATTTTCTCCCATAGTTCGGCGTCGGCTGGGCCTTGTCGCATATCGTATCATTGAGGGTGTGTGTGCCGTGTGGCGCCGGCGGCCGCTACTCGTTGGACGTCCGGCTGCGGCGGAACACGAGTGTGCGCGGCAGCGGCGCCGGCCGGTCCCGCGCCGGCGCCGGCGGCTCCTCGGCCGCCTCGTCCCCGCCGACGCTGCTCGACGGCGACTCAGTGTCGCGCTCCCGCAGCCGGCGGCTCGAGTACTTACCCATACCGGGCCGGTAGATGGCCAGGGACGGACGGTCCTGCGGGGTGGGGGAAGGCGGGGATCCAAGCGTCAGATACGGGTTGTGCTGCGAAACTAACTCAACTACACAGCATTACTGGTCAATGGTCAATGGTCATAGTCCCTCCACTACAGCAGGGCACCGACCTCTGGTCCATCACACATCATAGCTGCAGCACTAGCCCCGATGAGCACATATATTCCTTTTGCTATTATGCAGTCGGTGCGCCCCTAACCCCCAACAAACAAACAAACAAACCTTTTGCTATTATGGGCGAGTCCGGTGAACGACTACGACTAGGTGCTAGCTGCAGACTTTTAGCTAAGGTACCAGACTACCGACTTTATATTCCCCAACAGTCGCGTCCCGTCTGACCCCGGGAGCCCTCCGGACACCGTTACCCCTTACCTTGTTCTTTAGTCCGGTCTTGGTCCGCTCCGCCCTGGCCTCTTTCCTCTCCTTTTTGGCGTCAGGTGTGTCCCGTTTGACCGCGCCCGATTTGGCCGGCTGGGCGGTGTCACCCCCTGCCCGGGTCTCTGCGGAGCGCTCCGAGCCGGCGTCTTTGACCTCGGCCTGCCGGTCTCGTGCGCTGGCCGTCGATATCTCCGAGCTGTAGGAGACAGGCGGACAGTCAGTCGGTCTGTCACTGTCATCAGCCAGGCAGCGCGAGGCGAAAACTAGATGTTTAGCATTGCTTAAGTCGGCCAAAGGGACCGAAATACCCAAGAGGACTAAAAGCCCGGTCAGTAGCTGATTACGGACGGGAGGCTAACGGCCGATCAGTAAGGATGAACGGGCTGGTTGGTACCGAAATGGAAATTAACTGAACTGCTCTCACCTTGATTCTGAAGTGCGTGCCTTCTTCTCGGTCCTCTTCTTCTTCTCCTCCCAATCTACATCCTTCTTCCTCTCCTCCCGACTGAACGTCCTCGACTTCTCCTCGCGTCTTCCCTTCTCCGGCGCCTCGTCCTTCCAGCGCGCCTCCTTGTGGGCGGGACGCTCGCGAGCGCCGTCCTTCCGTCGGTCGTCCTTCTCCTTACGCCGGAGCTTGTCATCTCGATCCGGTCGGAATGCCTCCTTCGTCTGTTTGTCCCTCGTGTACTCTTTGGTGTACTTGTCCTTTTGTTTGTCGTCGTACTTTTCGTATTTTTTAGTTGTTGGAACGTCGTCTCGCCTTCGATCCTTCTCTTCTTCACGACTCGCCGGCTGAAAAAGTGAAGAAATAGAATTCAGATTCGTTAACGTCGACACCAAAAGCGCTGCCAATAAAATGATTTATCAAAATATATCATTATCCAGTCACCGTTATGATATTTGTGACGTGAGCAATCGGATCTGTCCATGAGAAAAAGAGGTCGCTGCCCGGTCACCCGAAATCTTCATTACGTTCATCCTTGGAACGTGATTCAAATTGTTGTCATTTGATGGCCATTGCCCCTCAATACTGAACCGACATTTACCGATCAGGAATGACTGAAGAAGATCGCATTCGGCATGAGAATGTCGACCAACACCTCGCCCTTTGGGGTTACATCTTGCAATTAAACGGCATAAAACAACCTGGACATTTACCTTGGAAGTTTCCTTTGTGTCGTATCTGGTTTTCTCCCTGGAGTCCCGTTTATCTCTGGCGAGCAGTTTCTCCCTGGCTCTCCTGGCCTCTTCCTTTCTCCTCTCGAGCTCCCGGCGGCGTCGCTCCTCTTTCTTCTCTGCCCTCCTCTTGCAGACGTAGGTGACCAGCGGCGTGACCACGTTGGCCTCTGCGGAAGGCACGGTGAACGGAAGGTCACAAAGGCAGACACAGTATTGTTCGCGCACCTGAGTGAATACCTGCAGCCAATGCATTTATCCCTCACATAGATACGCTGGGCTCTCGGACTTTTGCTTGGCAGTGCGCTTTATAGTGATAAATTTTACACGATCTGAACTAACGAGGTGCTCCCCATAATATGCATTGAGGAATTATTGTTGGCATGTATGCACATTCTTCGTCACCTACCCTCACCCCTCAGCTCGCTGTGCCGTTTCTCGATCAAAACTCACCTCTGAGCTCAGCTCTAGCACTTTCTCTACCCTCACCCCAAAGCTCTCTTTATCGTTTTTTTTTTTATCTACTCTCACACCTGAGCTCGCTATGCCGTTTCTCAATTTACCATCACCTCTGAGCCCACTGTGCCGTTTCTCTGCCCACCCTCACCTCTGAGCTCGGCGTGTCGCTTCTCGATCTCCTCCAGCGTCTGTTCCCAGCTGGGCGCCGCCGGCTCCGACTGCTCCTGCTCACAAGCCGCCAGAAACGCCTTGTAGTCGGCGTCCTCGAATATGGTGCCGCTCTTGGCGTCGGGCTTACGGCTGCGGCGGCGCGGCGTGCGCTGGTACGGCGCAAACTCCACAACGGCTGGGTACTCGAAACCTGAAGAGCATAAATACCGTCACACACTGTCCAATGGAACTGTGACCTAACCTATAACGTAGTTTCGCTGAAGACCAGTGTCTCATTCGTCGGTATGCTCATAATAGTCGCGAAACATTAACATCCGACCTCGACACGTACCCTGTTTATCTACGAACACGTATCCGTCGAATCTGTCCCTGAACGTGATGATGTCGTCCATGTTGCTGAAGTTGATGTAGGCGCGCGAGAAGGCGTGCGGCGCCAGGCCCGGGTCGGCCGGCACGAAGCCCAGGTAGTCGTGATCGGGCAGCGGGGACACCTGGTCGACAAACGAGTCGAGCGCCATGTCCGGCGGCAGGCGGCGGATCACCACCTGCGGGCGACGGTGGCCGTCAGAGAGGATAGAACGTGATGTATTTGTACAGTGTTCCCTTAGTTACTTCAAGGTCAAATGCAAAATGTGAAAAATATAGTGAGGAAAATTATAAGGTTGGCTGTAACAGTTTCTAACTCAGTGGTCCAGTAAAACATGCCCCAGCAATGGAAAATATTTTACATAATTATCCCAGGCTAAGAATGCATAATTCAATGCAGCCCTTTCAGCAGTGAAAAAGAATATAATTTACTATGGTACCATTACTTGAATAAATAACAATATAAACAATGTTTGACGGGGAGGTGGTACATGCAGGACCCTTATAAGATCACAGAGGGAAGTACCTAGCTATTGCATGAGTTCAGAATTTTGTTATGGAAGCAGCAAAGGAATATTTGAGCTTGACTAACCCATGAACGAAAAACAAAATATTTTATGTACCATTACTTGAATAAATAACAATGTAAACAAATACAAAGTGTCATACCTTTGTTGGTGGATGCTTATTTTTGTCCTTAGAACTTGAATAGGACTTCTTCTCACCATGTGAAGCATTCTTTATAGCCATCTTCTGTTAGGTACAAAAAGTAACCACTTCAAACATCAAACATCTATCTGAAATAATAAGATCATGCCAGTTATTTATGGAAAGATGATACCTTGAAAGGGAAGATATGTGCTTATATCATTGTGATGAGGGAACTTGATATCAGGTTAGGATTAGCAGATTCCCTAGGAATAGAGTCTGAGAGACTCATAATCCATCTGCCTTTCTACTGTTCAAAAATTTGAGATGGTCATGTTTCAGAGATGAAACATATGCTGAGAGCAACAAATCAACACATGAAAAACTGATAAAACCATAGGGCCATCATGCTCTTCGTACCAAAGCATGGCAGACATATTAAAGTTTCATCCATAAAAGTAGGTACTACTGCAACAGTCACTGTACTCTGTAATGCTTATTAGGTAAATGCTGAACTAAGAAAATATAACAAACATGACTAAAACCAATCTAGCAAAAAGCAATGCTCACTTAGCAGCCAGCTTTGCCTTTCTTATCCCAGCACCACACAGATCTGGTGAAGCATTTCTAATGCTACCTATCATTTATGAATTATGGATATCAGATAAAAACTTGACTTCCCCTTCTAATTGTCCACTATTTACCCAGCAGTCATGGATTAAAAAAGCTAGCTCATGCCCATCGGTGTACCAGTTTTAATGTAGCCATGCCAGACACATTTCTGTGATCTGTCACCCCAGTCCGCAAATCTGTGTCCATCAAACTTTAAAAAAAGAATCTGCATTTGGTCAAAGTAAGGCTACAAAGTGTTGGGAAAAATTAGGCAAGGACAGGTTATATTTCAATTTAAGTTAATTTATTCTGGGTGAAAGCAGCAAAACAAAAATTTGCTAAGGCGTAGATTTGTCCGAGACTAGAATCCATGGTAGGAATCCATGCGAATTTCACACCTCCACAATAAGTTTCCAGATCCATCAAAATTATTAGGTAATTGATCAGACAATCAGATACTTATTTTTATTCAACTTGCATGCAGAAAACACTTCAGGTTCGACTTTTGTTAAAAAAAAAAATGTCAATAAATTGCAATGAACACAACATTTAACATCAAGATTGATGGCCTAAAAATGCAATCTCACTGTTGGCTTGCCAGAGTGAGTGCCAAATGTTTAAATATTGTTTATGTTACAATCACTATAGGGCTCAACAAGTCACTACTGATGGGCCATAATTAGAAAATAAATTGTTGATTACTGACACACATCACCAATTTTCTCAGCCATTTATTCTGCGACATATTTTGACGCACTTCTGCTTATATTTTGTATTTTTTCCAAGGATATCCGTAACATGCTCGTGAAACTGGTGTTATAAATGAAATTATATTTACTATTATTCACCTGTTTTATTTTGGTTTTATTGCATTGGCATGGATCAGGTTTGCATGGCATTGTAATTTGATTGTAATCTTAAGCTTCTCAAAGTTTAATCTCATTTAATTTGATTAACCAGATTAAGGTCAAATTAACCTGCGCCAACTTCGCACCGAGGCCAGGGGGGGACGGATCGATGACCGCCCCTCCCTGAGATCTCGAGAACGAAGCAAGATAGCGACAAGCGGTAAACGGCATCGGATACGCACGGACAAGGTCTACAATTTTTACCAAGGTCATTTTCAGGTCAGGTCAAAGATGACGTCACAGGGGTCAAAAAAGTCAAAATGGCGGCGCTAGATATGGAGAGAGTTTTTCTCGAATAACTTTCGAATTAGTCAAGATAGGAACAAACTAAGGGCATCATCGTGATCCTCTCGTCAATCCGTCAATCCGCATCGAATGATATATATGTTGACCTCGAAAGGTTAAGGTCAAAGGTTGACCTCAGGTCACGTGACCTCGAGGTCATCATGCATATCATTCGATGCGTCTTGACGAGATGAACACAATGAGACCATCCGCGCGGCTGTATCTTGTTCCTGTACGGAGTTATTGGCAAAAAAACCTTTGGTGACCTTTGATGACGTCACATGACCTTACAACTACCCAACAGCAAAACAGACCTCAAGGTAGTGAAGGTTGATCGTATATGAAGTCATGTATGGTATATGGGGCCATTCCGACCCGTTTTAGTGGTAAAAACAAGGAGTTGATTTTCCCCCATTGACTTATAATGGGGAGGTCGCGAAATTGACCTGACCTTAGGTCACCGACATCAAAATTCCGAGATATACAAATTGTAGCTACTAATGACCTAATAACATCCTGCGACTTTCAAAGGCCTCCGACATCTATTGTAGCTCTGGCACGGTGACAAAGTTGCAAAAAAGTGACTTGAGGTTGGGTCATTCAAAGTGACCTGGTGACCTGACCTTAAAAGTTAGGAGGTTCAAACTTGCACACCATGTGTAAAATTGATGAGAGAATAGTCGTACCAAATTTCGCGGCGCTACGCGCCGAGGTTTTCCCGCTATCCGCGAAAAACCTCAGGGGGGGCGGATATCCGCCCCCCGTCGGTGCGCGTGTTAAGGTCCAAGGACATCAACATGACACGAAACTGTTATGATTTTTCAGTTTTTCATCTACTTCACCGGTCTTCCATCCCCACAGGCTTCGGCTGTGCAGCACAAGTCACATTCATCGGCCCGTCACCAGTTGTTCATCTTGCCAGTTTTGAGTCGCTTCGTTGTGATCCGGACTTAACTTATAACCCTATTCCTGGCGGGCTCCGCCGGGACAAGAAACTGGCGGGGGGGGCGATTCGGCCCCCCTTCAGATCTCAAAAACTACACATCGCTGATCGCAGCGACAAACGGCAAACGGCGTTTGATAGGTCGTTTAAAGATCTACAACTTTTACATAAAACATTTTCAGGTCAGGTCAATATTGAGGTCACCAGAGGTCATCAACGATAAAATGTTTTGGAATTAGTTACCTATATAACTTTTAAACTTAGAAACATAGAGACATAAAACCAATACATTTTTTGTTGCTCTCGCCGAGGCGATGCGAAATAAGTATGTGATGACCTTAACAGGTCAATTTGAAAATTGACCTGAGGTCAAGGTCAGGTCATTCATCAATGAGGTTGTGGGGTATGGTCATGCTGCATACCAAACGACGCGCCTTGACCAGGCGAGCAGTTTGGTACCACTTACAAGTCTTTAGCACCATCATGTCGTGATTTATTGACAGAAAAACGATTTATGACGTCACATGACCTCAGATGACCTTTGCCGGTGCCCCTGTCAATTAGCGGCACCAGGATCATCACCGATGAGATAATCTTCCATAATACTGAAAGAATTTGGTGGTTTTGACTCGTTTACACGAAGTAGGAGGCGTTTCAATATTTTCCCATAGGCTTGCAATGCAAAGGTCACGAGTCTGGCCTGACCTCAGGTCACAGATATGAAAATTCTTAGATATACAAATTGCACATACTGGTACCCTAACTAAAACCTGAAGAGAAGAAATTGATCGGTCAAAAACTCTAGCTCTGGCGTGATTGCAAACTTTTCTGAGGTGGGGTCACCAAACGGCCTCTGGTGACCTGACCTGACCTGACCCGGCAACTTTTTTTGTCAAAATGTGCGCAATGAATGTTTAGAAAAAGTCACCGAGTATGAGCTTTCGTCTTGCGGCTTTTGGCAATGGCACAAGAAAAACCTGAAGGGGGGCCTTAAAGGCCCCCCCGCCAGGAATAGGGTTAAGCTCCGTACTCCCTACCAAGAACAGATGATCCCTACTTCAAGAGGATTATCCTCCTCGTGGCCTAATGGATAAGGCGTCCGTCTCCAAACTCGGTGGCAGCGAGTTCGCGGCCGGGAAGCTCCATGTCGTTTGACCCAAGGCCGTATATAGGGTTTGACCCGCATTCCTATGTTCAGCCAGCTGGTAACTGGTGAGAGAGGGCCACGCTAGACCCGGGACGACCGTGCCGCCATCTGTAACTGCGGCACGTTAAACTTTCGATCCAAATTATCACCGGTAAACCGGGCGCGGGCAAGGCCGGTTGAGTCCGTGGTGTCATTCGCAACAAGCACTGCTTAGCGGGGCATCCTGGCCCATAGCCACCCATGCATCCATTCGGACAAAATTTAAAAAAATCCAAGGCTTTTCTTCGCAGGCTCTGAATGATTCACTTTTTGGGGCCAGCGTCTCTTTTCGGCCCCTTAGATCTCGAAATGAAGCATTATTCAGGCACGGTAAACGATTACCTAACAGCGTTTGACATTCGTTGACATTCGTTGTACACAACATTATCGGGTCAGATCAATAAAGGTCACCAGAGGTCAAACATTTTGTTAAGGCACATAACTTGCAGACAAAAATAAGACATAAAATTGACACCAACGTGATTCGCTGGTCGAGTCGGCTCGAAACATATACCTACTTGATGACCTTTATTGGTCAAGTTCAAAATTTGACCTCAGGTGATAGGTATCCCTCGCCGGGCCGGTGCTCCGCGACTTCCGCGCCGGGCCAGGGGTGTCTGAACACCCCTCGTCTAACTGGGTTCCTTGGCCATGTAGCGACACGAGATAAGCGGCATTCGAAAGAGCGTCAAAAATAATGACGGAAAAAACGTCTGTCATTGTTTTGGGTCAGATCAAAGGTCAGGTCGCCGACTCGCCAGGGGTCATGGAATGTCAAATCTAGTCCATTTGCACAATTTTGGAAACAGCCAACGGCTAACTCGGGAACCAATAGAGCTACAGCGGCGCAAAAAAGCACATTCGATAGCCCTTTTACAGACCCTTTCTGAGTACCTATTGCTCTCAGACTTGACTTCAGGTTAACGGTTTAGCCTCCAGAGGGCAGTGGCGGCGGAACACCTTCAATTAACCCGCGCCCCACTGGGGTCTGCGTATAACACGCCCTACTGGGGGGGGGCTATTCATAGCCCCCCCCCTCCTAACTCCGAAACTACTGGGCCGATCGTCAAAATTCAAACGGCGTCTGATAGCCCCGGAAAAACTGTCGAGCGAAACCTAATTTCATTGACCTCGAGGTCACTGATGACGTCACAGGTCAGGTCAAAGTAAAAATTATTAGCATTTTGGCTTCTTCACGTTTTGGGCTCTGGCCGCCGTCTTACAAGTCAGATCAGGCTCATTTTTGGTTCACACACTCGTGAACAGGTGCTCTAGATACTCTGAGGGTACCAAACTTGTACTTTGATTTTCAGGTCAAGGTCAGGTCATCACAGGTCACGAAAATATTATATCATGCGTCGGTCACGTGACACATGTTTTATGGTCCATTTAGGCCAAACATTTCGAATTTGATGTCGTCTGTGTCATTCGAGGTCATTTTGAGTCAAATTTCGCTTAGGTCAGGTCACTTTCAGGTCAAAAAAGGTCAAATTTTGAAGTTAAAATTTTTCAACAAAAAAGGTGTGTATTGAATGCAATTTGAGCTCAGGAACACGATGGTGATATTTATATTGGCGTACGATGTCAAATTCGTGCTGAAAAATTGATTTGAAAAATTAATAATTGTTAATTTTTTGCAATAATGCGTATAACTTGGCCATTTTTGAAGATATTTAGGTAAAACTTGCTAGAGTTAGTCATAATAATGCTTTCTATCACATATATTCCGGTTTTTTCGAAAAGTCAAAAAGTTTTTGAAAAAATGTAAAAATATAAATTTTGAATTTTATTTTATAAAATTTTCGAAATTTTCAAAATTTCGAAAATCCGAGATAGAAGTTTGATAGCGCAGTCTATTCTGAGTCCTCTCATGCAAAGAAATTGGATCTAGCTTAAAAACTGAGCTCTTGGGAGCGATTGCCGTGGTTCAATGTTTTGCGTCGAAATTGGCCGAACATGACGTCACTCTGACGTCATTTCCGGCCAACCTACGGTAGGTACGAAGTTTAACCCTCGCCGGCCGAGGGGGGGGGGGCGGGTGCCGCCCCCCCCATAGGGTTTTTTCGCGATAGCTCCGAACACGCTGGCGATAGAGAGCTGAAACTTGGCATACCTGACCTTTGATCCAAGCCGCATCTTTTGACACCAACCGCATTTTTGGGTCAGGTCAGGTCACTGACCTATGACGTCATAAGTGAACCTCTGCACGGTCTTCAGATGTCGCAACTTCGCAACGCCCTCACTGCCAGAGGAGATGTCACAGGGAAATGAAACTTTCAGGATCTAGTATCCATTATGAGTCCCACAAATTGTATATCTCGGATTTTTCCTAAAGGTCATATGAGGTCAGGTCATTTTCGTGACCTCACCATTATAAGTCAATGGGGAAAAATTCAAACTGCTATTCTGGCGCCGGGAACGATCTCCAACTATCTCAAGCACACAGAATCGTGATTTGATGCACTCCTTGCAAGGTTAGATGCGTCACTTTTGCAATGTTGACCTTGCGTGACGTCATTTATGACGTCATCAAGGTCATATTAGTTTTTCGTCAATAACTCTTGATCAAATTGAGCTAGCGAGTCGGGAAAGCCACCAATGGACTCAGGAAGACCTGCCGAATCGAATGATATGCGACATGACCTCTTTCGACCAACTTCGTGACCTGGGGGTGCTGACCTGACCTTGACCTGAGGTCAACACCCCAAGTTGACCTGACCCGGACAAAAAGTATATCATTCGACGCGCCTGAGCGAGACGAACACGATGCTGCCAAAATCGGCGCTCTGCGGCCGTTTTTTGCGAAGTTATTCACCAAAAACTGAACCGTACCTTGGGGCACTTGACCTGACCTCAGAGGTCACCGGTTGACCTAGGACCTTAAAATCGGGTACCAATCTCTGCGTCTCGTAACGGCGCACACGCTCGTTTTTTCCGCGACGCGCTAGCTCCACCAGGGGCGAAACGGCGAGGGGGGGGGGTCGTACCCGCCCCCCCCCCCCCTCGGCCGGCGCGTATGTAGAAAACCAATAGGTCCGGCAAGGGTTAAATTTTGACACATGGTGTCAAATTGATGCATCCAAAGGTGCTGAAAGTTTGGCGTCGATACGTCAAGCGGTTTGGAAGTTATTGCAGAAAAACGGGAGGGGGGGGGGGCTATAAATAGCCCCCCAGTGGGGCGCGGGTTAAGGGGGGGGCACTGCCGACTTTTGGTCCAATTCTTTCCATGCAACGCCCATAGGGCTTAGGTAGGGACGAGTATGTGGAAGTGGTATATGCCAAGACCCAATAGCTTTACGATAAGATTTCACGGTCAATTACAGGTCGGGTCAAAGCGAGCCTTCCCATGGTCTGACCGGAATTTTTATTGCATTGCTTAATGTTAACTATACCTAGTTGCGTTGTAAAGATTGTTGAAACACCAGCTTTATTTTTTTGTAATGGTAGCTTTCGGAAGATATCCATATTCCTTCGTCAGCCTGTCCAAAGCACTAAAAAATGGATACCTGCAAACCTTCAGCAAAGAAAAGACAAAATAAGTTGCGATAACCTAAAAACATTAACTTCAACATAACACATCGAATAATCAATGGTCATGAAGCACTAAAATACTTTGAAGGATACATGAAGATTAATTTTTTCACTTAAATAATCGCCCAACTTGTGGTCTATATGCAAGGAAAAAAACATAAAAGAAGAGAAGACAATGTTAAAGATTCATAACATCGAGCTGCGACTATTCTTCGAACAGCCGAACGACCAAGTAACTCGAATTACGAATCGCTGACGTCTGAACGAACAATTTTTTAGTGCCTTGGACAGGCTGACGAAGGAAGATGGATGTCTTCCGAAAGCTACCATTACAAATAAATAAAGCTGGTGTTTGAACAATCTTTACAACGCAATATCACTGTCCCAGCTGAACAACTTCAACATAACATAACTATAGTTGAGTTGAACACTTGTTGAGAGTCGGCTCCGACGACTCTGTCTGTGCCGATGCCGACGGGGCCGTCGGGCCGACTGCGGGCCGGGCCGGCCGACCGTCAGTCGGTCTGGGGCCGGCGTCAGCGGCGGGCGGGTACTGTGCCGCGGGCGGGTGGTGTGCCGGGGGCGGTCTGTGGGGCTGTTGGTACAGCGGAATGGCGGCCGAACCTGCACCGGGGGCGGCTCTGGCGCTGCTCCTGCTGCTGGCCAGGTGAGCCGCTGAGAGCGGGCTGCGGAGCAGTGCCACCGCCCTATCGTGGCCGTGGCCCTCGATTTGATCAAGCAGCGGTTTTTAGGAATTGTGATCGTTTGCGGTTAGCCATTTATTCTTGTATAACCGTCTTCCCCGCGTTCACTGTCCTTGGACGCTGCTACAATTCTATTTAGATCTGTACGGCAGTGATGAGTTTGGGTTGGACACTCATGCACATTGCACAATGCATGCCGCTAGCGTTTGGCGACACCGGTATGTGCAGGGACACAGTGAGCTGGCACAGCAACAGTCGGCAGTCGAGAAGGGACCACTGTTCGGCATTCCACAGTCCGCTCTAAAGGCGATGGAGGCAAATGACGTGGATATCTCCGAAGCGAGCGTCATGTGTGCCGTGCTTATGTTGACTTGGGACAGGACAAGCGACCAAAGACATTAAGTATAGGCTAGGTATAAATAACCGATCGGTTTGGCATATCATATCTCGGTTATCTAGACGTAAAACTAAAAAAGAGAAACGAAAAAAGTCGCTGAATGTCTGCACGCTACGCGACATGCACTACACGACACACACACTTAAAAAAAACTTTAATACTTCATGAGTCGCCGGCACGTGGATGGCCTGGCCGGGGTGGTGTCAGAACTTCGTAATATTCAGCGGAGAACCTCCCTAGTCCCAACCGTGCCCGAGGAAAACAGAGAATACGTCCCCGGTGTCCTTTGTTTACGTGCGTATACCTCTGTCCCGTATGCTGTTTGTATGTGTGTATGTGTTTCTCCATCAGTCGTCTGGTCGTGTTGATCCTCAGCTTTTCTATGGGGCCTTCGTTTGTTCGTTTTGCATTATCCTCTAAAACTTTCACTTAGTTATGTTTTTTCTTCAATCCGTTATTTTTTCGCCTGGTTCAATGTTTGTATGCGTTAACCGTTGTCGTATTCAGTGCAAGCCTGCGTTCTAAATGATCTGTTTAGCTTCTATCATAACCCATCACCGTTTTGAAGCAGAAGTGCTATATTGCTATTTGCTAATTGTGTGTAAACGTCGCTTACATTTACATCCGAGAGATCCAGCATTCTCTATTTCTGTGTGTTTACAGGGTGTCCTTGATTTTCAGTCTGCCCAGTACATTCACCCTCGAGGTTCTGCTCAACAGACTGGAGGCGGTCAATTATGACTCCAACCAGTGGCCTACCTACAGTCAGTCACCAGGTAAGCACAGGATAACGTCATGGATCTGTGAGGGGTAGGTATTAGCCGTTTTCACGACGGCCATCTGGTACACATTTGGTACAGACTAGGTGAGGATTTGGTGCAGATTTGGTCAAATTAGGTTCAGTGTGTTTCTTGAATGTTATCACTTTGGGCTGCACAGATGCTTATATACTTCACTTTTCAAATCATCATTCATTATTTTGTAGTCAAGTACTGAAATAAATTCAAGATACGAAGGTATTTATTGTAAAAGAGATTTGATGCAGATTCGGTCAAATTAGGTGCCTTCGCCAGAGAGCCCGTCGAGAAAACGGCTATTGGATCGTGAGCCATGCTAATCGATTTCTTCACCGCTAATTGTTGCCATTGAATATTAACCCTCGCCGGACCTATTGGTTTTCTACATACGCGCCGGCCGAGGGGGGGGGGGGCGGGTACGACCCCCCCTCGCCGTTTCGCCCCTGGTGGAGCTAGCGCGTCGCGGAAAAAACGAGCGTGTGCGCCGTTACGAGACGCAGAGATTGGTACCCGATTTTAAGGTCCTAGGTCAACCGGTGACCTCTGAGGTCAGGTCAAGTGCCCCAAGGTACGGTTCAGTTTTTGGTGAATAACTTCGCAAAAAACGGCCGCAGAGCGCCGATTTTGGCAGCATCGTGTTCGCCTCGCTCAGGCGCGTCGAATGATATACTTTTTGTCCGGGTCAGGTCAACTTGGGGTGTTGACCTCAGGTCAAGGTCAGGTCAGCACCCCCAGGTCACGAAGTTGGTCGAAAGAGGTCATGTCGCATATCATTCGATTCGGCAGGCCTTCCTGAGTCCATTGGTGCCTTCCCCGACTCGCTAGCTCAATTTGATCAAGAGTTATTGACGAAAAACTAATTTGACCTTGATGACGTCATAAATGACGTCACGCAAGGTCAACATTGCAAAAGTGACGCATCTAACCTTGCAAGGAGTGCATCAAATCACAATTCTGTGTGCTTGAGATAGTTGGAGATCGTTCCCGGCGCCAGAATAGCAGTTTTCATTTTTCCCCATTGACTTATAATGGTGAGGTCACGAAAATGACCTGACCTCATATGACCTTTAGGAAAAATCCGAGATATACAAGTTGTGGGACTCATAATGGATACTAGATCCTGCAAGTTTCATTTCCCTGTGACATCTCCTCTGGCAGTGAGGGCGTTGCGAAGTTGCGACATCTGAAGACCGTGCAGAGGTTCACTTATGACGTCATAGCAGGGCCTCCTCTAACATACCCACTGGGTGGGCAAATGCCCACCCAGTCGCCACAATTGCCCACCCAGTGGCGTCGATTTGCCCACCCAGAAGCAAATGCAAAAATAAAGGTCCGGCCGGACGTCCGGTACTACCTTTCCGGTCTTAAGCAAACTGGATGCTGTTTGAAGGTCAAAAAAAGTTTTCTGGTTGCTCGATATTCAGGAGTGTAGCCAGGATTTCCTCAAGGAGGGGGTTATCTTGCGCACAAGGGCGCAAGATAACCCCCTCAAAATCCCAAAAGCCATCGGGTTGCATCCAATATTTTTTTGGATGGGGCCCAAATAAATGGAAAAAATATTCATTAACAATGTTAGAACTGAGGGGGTAAGCAGTATATGGGCCCCTGTTAGACAGGCCCACGAATAGCTTCATAGAGTCGCCAGCCGGTTCTGATGGCGGTCTGAGGACCCGTAGGTCGGATGAGGGTTCTTCAGACCGTCACAGGCCCCTATAGCCCATGAGAGCCTCGTAAGCCGTCTGAGGGTCATATAAGCCGTCTAGGGCCACTCAGACCGACAAAAGGCCCCTTGCACTTGCAGAGGCCCAGTCAGGCCGACGTAGGGCCCTCTCAGACAAACTAAGGGCCCGTTCAGGTCATTTGAGGGCCTCCTCAAACCGATAAGGGCCCCTCAGATCGACAGTGGATCCGATCCGAGCTCCCTCAAACCGATATAGGGTCAGACCAACAGTCGGAACGCATTGATTCTGTTTACACACCGTTGGACCCAAGTTGGACCCATCCCATCCAACTGGCCCCCTGGTTTCAATAGGGCCCCAAGGCTCTAAAATTGGGTCTCTCTTGGCCAAAGAATAACTACTCAGCTGTGTCAAAGGATCTGCCGCAGGGCCTTTGCGTCGCCAAGGGCCCACTGTGTCAGTCAGGGGCCTCTATGGAATAAGGACCCCTGGCTTCCAGGAGGGGCCATGGTCCCTTTGGCCCCCTCCTTGGCTATGCCACTGCAGGTGACAAACGTTCTTTCAGACGACCAGGGGGCAGGGGCCCAGGCGACCAGAACCCCAGGTGACCAGGGGCCCCCAGGCGACTAGCTCCCCCCAAGCGACCAGAGGCCCCAGGAAACCGGGGGTCCTCGGATGAGTGCAGGGGCCCATTGGGTAATCAGGGGCACCTCGGGTAACCAGGGCCACAGAAATGAAACTTGAATTGATATAAATTTGCTTCCGAGTAAAATACGTTTTATCCAGTGTTAGAAAAAAATATCCCGGGGCCTGTGGGGCCCCCATGGCGCCTTCTGCGCTCAAGGGAGGGGGCCATTGTCCCCGTGGCCCCTCCCCTTGGCCACGCCCCTGCCGATATTGGAGTTATCAAGTAATTGTCTCGTAAGTGAAAAGGCACGTACAATAAAGGTACAACCCTCTGCAAGCTGCGTGGTAGGTATCTTTTTTCGACAAAACCGAGAATAACGCGAATACGCTAACGGTCATTCGGAAATCGTAACAGCAAGACGCGCGAGACTCCGCACCTTAGATTGGCATTATCATCGTATGCATTTTCCTTTTTTTTATTTATTTTTTATTTTATTTTATTTTTTTATTTTTTTTTAGGCTTATTTTGGTATACATTTTCCATCTAGTTTGACAACAACACACAAAAGTTTATATTTCCCCCCAAAACAAACTTTTGCTTTTTTGCTACGGTAAGAGTACACATTGTTCAGTGACTGAATTAATCGAAGGGGTGGAGCATGGCGCATCTATATGCAATGTGTTCCGACCGACTGATTATCATAACCTTTGAGATATTAGGTATCGGTTTTGTCGAAATAAGAATACCTACCCCGCAGTTTTTGCGGAGGGCTGCAAGTGCAGCCCTCTGCAGACTGCGTGGTAGATATCCTTTTTTTCGACAAAACCGAGAATAACGCGAATACTATGCTATCGGGCACTCGGAAATCGTAACAGAAAGATGCGCGAGACTCCGCAGCTTAGATTGGCATTATCATCGTATGCATTTTCCATCCAGTTTGGCAACAACACCCAAAAGTGTATATTTGCCCCCAAAACGAACTTAAACATTTTGTTGCCACACAAGGCGTAGGTATGCTTTGTTTATTGATAGGCCCTATCGAAGGAGTGGAGCATGGCGCATCTGTTTGCAGTGAGCTTCGACCGACTGATAACATGACTTTTGAATTATAATCAGTTTTGTCGGAAAAAGAATACCTACCACGCAGTCTGCTGAGGGCTGTACATGTAATCTGGAACGAATCGCTCGAGCATCGCTAACCATAAAACATACGACAAACGTTAACTATCATTTTATTTCCAATAATAATGGCACAGCTTATTTCGTCTCATCCCCGCACCCCCCCCCCCCCCGGTAACAGGTTTTGAAATTGGTTGAACCCCAAAACAAGTGGCTGGATCCATCCTTGGGCGGGGAAGTGGCGAAAATTTTGCCCACCCAGTGAAAAATCCTTAGAGGAGGCCCTGCGTCATAGGTCAGTGACCTGACCTGACCCAAAAATGCGGTTGGTGTCAAAAGATGCGGCTTGGATCAAAGGTCAGGTATGCCAAGTTTCAGCTCTCTATCGCCAGCGTGTTTGGAGCTATCGCGAAAAAACCCTATGGGGGGGGCGGCACCCGCCCCCCCCCCCCCTCGGCCGGCGAGGGTTAACTCCGAGCCGTTTACACGTTGAATACTGCAGATGGATACATATTACACATGCAATGGACGATGTCTATAGCAGCTTTGTATGTTTGTCAAGTAGTGTGCTTTTTTCGTCGTATGAAACGTATATATGTGTATATCGATCTTGTATTTGGTTTACAAACTTTATGATGGATGCCGCAACTGACGCAATAACTGGAATATGAAATTAGCATTGTCGTGAACGCTGGTATTCGATTCAATTAGGACGGCGCCGCTGATAAGCTATCAGAGATATATGGTGCATGCATATCCAAAATCAATTGGTCTTTGGTAATGACTAATTTCAATGCAGTTTTATGCTCTAGTAATTATTTTGCCCGGATCTTTTCAGGTCGACAGTATTCAATTGCTATTGAAAGTTATTTGAGTCAATGAAAGCCATGTTTCATAAATAGCGTTTATGTATTTCAAACAGTCGTCGTAGTATGCGGCACATACCATCCACATTAGATAACTACGCGTCACTCGATATTTTTAACCATTGGATGGTGGTCTTGTGAAGGCAGTCTGCAGGATATGCTTTATTTCTTCTCGTACAATTGTACACTTTCATGCAGAAATGATTTGTACGTACATATGAATGGTTACTTGGTCAGTAGTTTAAACCATTTCATTTAAATGCATTATTAGTGTCGCATGGTGTAAGTTGCGACGTAGGCACATAAGCGGATCTTTCCAGCCATCGGAATCAGGGGTGGACAAATGTGCCGAGTTGGGGTAGCACGAGTCTTCCCAATTCCACGCCGGCTGCGCCGGCTTGGCTTTGGAGCCGCACCAGGCGGCGGAGGTCAAGGTCACCGCTAGGGCGGCGGGGGATTTGCTGTGCCCGTGCAACCCCAACTCGGCATATTTCTCCACCCCTGATCGGAATCGGTATTTCTAGGCAGTTCAGCCGGTAATTGTGGACATTTTCGTAAGTTGTCTCAAGCAAATCGGATGGAAGTTGCGTTCAGCTGGAAGCTCTTGAAGCTCCAGACAGTTCGACTAGATCAAGGAGCAGCGAACATCTCAACCCACCAGTTGCGGGCAGCTCAGCTCACCAGCTCCGAGCAGCTCAGTCGGCAGCTCTGAGCAGCTCAGTCGGCAGCTCGGACTAGCAGCTTAGCTCACAGCCCCTGGGCGGTCAGCTCATCCCGCAGTTCCGGGCAGCCGAACGTCCCGCTGCGCCGCGCTGTACACTCAGCTTAGCGAGTTATTTATCCGGGCGATGAGCGCTGTCGCCGCCGGCGCCGGCGGTGGCACCCGTCGAAGATAATCCGCGTCGCTCGTGTCCGTACGCGCGGACAGCTGTCTCGGGCGGCTGTCCGCCAGCGAGTGTCCCTCCGACAGCGGGGAGCGCCGCGTGCCGGCCGCCTCAGCCGCTGACCGGTCACCTGTCTGCCGCGACCGAGCGGCGCGCCAGAGCCGCCCCCGACCAATTGACCGATGAGAGAGTGGACTGAGGGCTGACGGCTTCACCTAATGCTGGTGCGCTAACTGTGGGCGGTACAGTGGTGAAAACTCACATACTTTCGTGGACTAATGGATGGCCGTGGTGAGAACTCTCGTACGTCTACATATGTCTGTCGGTATAGAGAAGATGTAGTGAGCTAGAGAATAGTCCCGTCGGTTATTTGTTAACCCTATTACTGGCGGGCTCCGCCGGGACAAGAAACTGGCGGGGGGGGGCCGATTCGGCCCCCCTTCAGATCTCAAAAACTACACATCGCAGCGACAAACGGTAAACGGCATCGGATATGCACGGTCAAGATCTACAATTTTTACTTAGGTCATTTTCAGGTCAGGTCAAAGATGACGTCACAGGGGTCGAAAAGTCAAAATGGCGGCGCTAGATATGGAGAGTTTTTCTCGAATAACTTTCGAATTAGTCAAGATAGGAACAAACTAAGGGCATCATCGTGATCCTCTCGTCAATCCGCATCGAATGATATATACGTTGACCTCGAAAGGTCAAGGTCAAAGGTTGACCTCAGGTCACGTGACCTCGAGGTCATCATGTATATCATTCGATGCGTCTTGACGAGCTGAACACAATGAGACCATCCACGCGTCTGTATCTTGTTCCTGTACGGAGTTATTGGCCAAAAACCTTTGGTGACCTTTGATGACGTCACATGACCTCACAGCTGCCCAACAGCAAAACAGACCTCAAGGTAGTGAAGGTTGATCGTATATGAAGTCATGTATGGTATATGGGGCCATTCCGACCCGTTTTAGCGGTAAAAACAGGGATTTGATTTTTCCCCCATTGACTTATAATGGGGAGGTCGCGAAACTGACCTGACCTTAGGTCACCGATATCAAAATTCCGAGATATACAAATTGCACATACTGGTACCCTAACTAAAGCCTGAAAAGAAGAAATTGATCGGTCAAAAACTCTAGCTCTGGCGTGATTGCAAACTTTTCTGAGGTAGGGTCACCAAACCGCCTCTGGTGACCTGACCTGAGGTCAGATCAACTCAAAATTTTCAGACATGTTGCGTAGAAGCCTTTTAGGAAAAGTCAGAAAATTTGAGCTTCCTAGCTCAACGCGTATGGGAGAAATAACCAAAAAACCTCAGGGGGGGGCTCCTGAGGCCCCCCGCCAGGAATAGGGTTAAATATGAAAATCATTATATTTCAGAAGATGTACAAAATTTAAGTTTTTAGCTTGCCATTCATCTAGAGTTCAGTGAAAACATATGATAAAAATTGAAAAGTGACTGATGGTGACTTTCTGCAGCAGCCGTGAATGTGATATTAGCACCACATTCCGTTTCGCCAGCAAACATGCGAGAGACGCACTTGACATTATTCAGCGGTGGCGTGCCGAGAGTTCCGTGCTGTCTGCAGCATATATTCGCATCATGCGCGCGCGAGAGAGAGGGAGAGAGAGAGGGGGAGGGAGGAAAGATGTAGAAGAGACAACGGGCCTTGACACATTCGTTTTTATTTACATTAATCGGTGTGCATTAATTACCAGCGACTCGCCAACATTTCTAAGTAGGCATGTAGTAGCAAAGTAAGCTTGTCTGTTTGTAAATACCCTCGGCAATCCGTACAGGCCAGCACCCATGCACAATGCACATTGCACGCTGCACCCGTTCTGAGACAACTCTGGCCGGTATATAGGGCCTTGCTCTGGCCGACTGCTAGAGCCACCGCGCGCCTGCTCGCTGTGGTGGCCGCGACTGCGATTTCCATTTGTCAGCTCCCTGTCCCTGTCACCGGGACGCTATGAAGTGCCGCCTAATTAGCGCGGCCAAGCCAGGAGGGAGCCGTTCCGACTGGACGCGAGGCCATGCTCGGCGGCCGGTCATCAGTCCTGCAGCCGGGTGACTGACGCCACCTGGCTGCCAGCGGGGCCGACGGACTGACGCTGAGGTGACGCAGATGATGTAGGAGCTCAGAGCTGTGCGCAAGTTGCCAAGAGCAGCTACATGAGATATGCACACACCACTCAGTTGCATAATGATTTATTTCAAATGAGGCTATGCAAATTTAGCATTCATTAGCCTAAATAAAGTGATATTTGTTATTCCCCATCCGGCAGCATTGGGCTAAAAGTCGGCTAGCTACGCGGAACAGTGATGAGTGAGTTTTACTTTTGACCCTTTTTTGATATGTGATATGTTGGATATGTGAAATAAATAAATATACCCGTCCGTCTTCACCAATGGTCATCTCTTCACTCTGAACTTACGACACCTGGAACATTTCAATGCGCTATGCCGCGCTTGAACCGCCAGCCTAACGATGTAAGTAACTGACGATAACGTCCAATTAATGTCGAACTGATTCACTTGGAGGGCGGCCATGAGAGCCAATAACCTGGGCGATGATGGGTGTGTTGTAGGCTGTCTTAGCTCATTCGTGCGTCAGCGGCCCGGCAGACCGATCGAAACGACCTGTCAGCCGCGCCTTGAGAGACGGAGACGAACGGTTGCGGCGTGTTTGCCCAACCGTCAACGCTCTGCCGGCGAAACGGTGATGTATGGACTACAAGAGCCAGATGACACCTGTGGAGACGCGACTCATAGGGCCCGGCTCGGCTGGCTCAGGATCAGTCACGGCGCCGACTCCACTCCTCAGGACGGCACCACGTTTCCAGCTATCCTCAGACACACATACCAGCGACGCATTTCTCTTCATGGCGGACATGTGTGGCGAGTTATTAACCCGGCACGTCGTGCTCTGTTTCAGATGCACCCACGCGCGTCAACATCAGCATTTTCGTCAACAGTTTTGGCGCACCTCGAGCGGCGACCATGGTGAGGAATCCGGCCCTGTGCGGGTCGCTGGGGGGGGGGGGGAGGGTAGCCGGGTAAGGTCAGTCCGCTGAGCAAAGTCGGCCATGAAGATATTTAGCCAGAATTGCTTCCCAGCTATAGAACTGACTAAAGCATTTAGTTATTTGGAAGAGAAAGACGATTATAACTTTTTTTTCCAGATCACATTTACGTCAAACTTCGTCAACGAAAAATATTCAAGTGTAAAAATTTAACTATAATTAAAGATAGCTGGCTTCATTTGAACCTTGAGCTGGGGTTGAACGTTTTTTTTTTTTTTACGGTAAGCGCTGGGAATTCGCTACCTACCCAGCTATTACAATTATTTTGTATTATCATGAACATCAAATATGTTTTGCCGGATCCGCACGCCACTTGACTAAGCTGAAGACTGACGAGTCCTCCACTAGCGGCATCAGTCGGCGTGCAGGCCCGTGGGTTTCAGCCGTGACATAAATCAGAAATGTACACCGGAGTGACGGCTCCGTCGGAAGAGGTTCCGCAAAATTCGCGACAGTGAAGTAACAACTGACAGGCCAGGGGCGGTCATTAACAAATGGTGTGTTTGGTGAAGATCCTGCGGACAAGTGTAAATGGTTTCATGCTGTCAAGGAACAAATTGAGCGGAAAGTTCCCAGAATGTGACTCGCTTTTGCCACGGTAACTGATGATAAATGATCATATATGAAAAATACATAAATTGATTTAAAACTAAGCAATAAGCTGACCAAACCAGCTCATTAGTCTGCTACCTAATTCAGTTTAGGCGCATGGTTAGACTACTTAGAGCGTTCCATGTGCTCTTTGACCACTCTGCATGTGGTAAAAATAGTTTTAAACTCTGTTGTTTCAATTCAGAAGATAATGTAGCAGAACAAAGCTGCAATTTAAATAGGTTCGCCGATCGGCATTAATGAGGCAAGAGTGGGTCGTTGTGCCATTGTGCAACGTTTCAATGTGGCCATTGATCCCCCAGCTGTAATGTAAGGCTCGGTGTGCGGCAGTGTTGCAGTGTTGCACACCTGCGCTGCAACTGCTGCATCTGAGAGCGCGGTGAAACAACAAACATTACAGAAGGCTGCAGAAACACACGGCTATTTCTGAAATTAAAGGCCTGGCTACACTATGCGTTTTCTGCGTGCGTTTTTGCAGGTTTGCGTGTTTTGCGTAATATCGTTCTAGGAAAAAAGTTATAAACAATATAATTTTTACTTTGGTTATATACAAAAGCTAATATAACTCTTATGTAACTAAAATTTAAGGTGAAAAACATCACAAAAACGTAATATCGTTCTTTTTTTCTAGAACGATATCACGCAAAACACGCAAACACGCAAAAAACGCACGAAGAAAACGCATAGTGTAGCCAGGCCTTAAGACGCGCATGTGGCGCGGCGTGCGCCCACAAATATGTGAAATTTGTCTACTCAGAGGCCCGGTGGGCAGGTTATTTGCCGCCTCTGCGCCGCTTCTGTCCGTACTGTGACGGACGACAGTGCGAGAGTCCACTCCGTCCCTCCGTGTGTCGGCCGTGAGAGCCGACTGGCACGTTTCCAGAGACGCGCGACTCAGTCGCGATCATAATAGGTATATTATACACACAAACACAGACTTACGAGTATGTAGGCCGGTCCGGAGGCATCCACTCCAAAGCAACAAATTTACCGAATGGCGGTCAGTGTTTCTGGCATAGGTATAGGCTGATTCAGGTTTTTTATTTCGGAAAATTAGAAAAGCTGGTTACCTTGTCATTCTATAATAATTAATAACTCGTCTACCTGTACCGTCATCAGCTAGATAGCGCTAGCACAATTAGACATTTATCGCCATGTTTGAAATCCATGGCTACTTTCTTCCCTCTCTGAATTCAACACTCAACAATGTGAGTGGACGTTACTCACGTAAGGTCGTGTAAATGGGCGACATGCATGTTCCGCTTCCATGAACTTCAGCAGCAGTCGTAAATAACACGACTCTTATGGGTTGCACCTTTGACAGTGATCGCCGCTGCCTATGTCAGCTCGCGAGTTTATCGAAGGAAAGTGCACGATATTGCAGCATTAACATTAAATGCTTGAGAAGCGAGCAGTGAGCAGTCAACACGCTACGGATAGGCAATCCTTAACCCAAGGCCGCTACTTATCCTACCCACACGACACAGTTCACGAACAATGAGTTCTTCAAAATGTCTGTTCTGCCATGCGTTTGAGGGTATAGCGGTTAGTTTCAAAGAACACCCGATTTTGAAGGAAAAGGCTGCTTCAAATGATGCAAATGCCAGGTGTTCATTATTATGTACAACATTTACGTCATTTTTATGAAGGCATCTATGGCTTCCATCTGTGTCTTGTGCTTCATATGCATTCCACTAAAACTTAATTGCACATTCGGGCATATTGGTGTGGTGGTGTCGCATGGTGGTGTGATCTTTGGCACTGGCCCACCGAACTGTTCCATAGGGACAGCGGTCTGATCACGCCACCTCTCACCCGCTGTCGCTCGGCAGACAGCTCAAGGCGGCCGACAGCTGGGCGGCTTCTGCCCTCTGCTCTCCCCTATCGTGCTTTTATCACCGGAAGCCTGATGTGCTTGATGATGGGACCACACCAGAACACGCTGCTTGGACGGAACTCGGAATATGGTGCAAAACTTCAACAACGATAGAGGACCCGGGCGCAGTGTTTAAATTTCGCGGGCTTGACATTCTTGAGATTCGCTCCTCATTTCATTCGTTCTTTTTTCAAATGAATCAAGCTTGTTTGATATAGATTTACTATGCATACAGTCTATTTATTACGCACGGTAGTCGCTAGTTTGATTTTTCTGTGGTGGCGTGTCCATCCTTATTTATTTACCGTTCCCCGAGCGAGCGACACCTTTATCTTTGTGGAACGCAGACACTGCTGCGACATGAGTCCTGACACCGAAGCAGCGATGGATGTGCCACGTTCCTCAGCTTATCTCGGATGCTTCATTCACCTTATCTACATCCAAATATAAAGCGACATTAGACTTCAGGTTATGACACTATTTTTTTGTTTTGAACACATCAATTCATGGAAAGACATGTTTTATTGTTTAGATCTGCGATAGGTAGCCATCTGCAGATAGTAGGCCCTCCCTCCACCAACCGCAGCACAGGCTTGCCCCCCTGGGGCCTCCGGTAGATGACCGCCGGGGCCCTGCTTTCGGTGACCCCAGGGCCCTCCAATCGGTGACCGCCGGGCCGTGGTTCGCCGCCAAATGGTGAAACCACTGCAGTTCACCGAATCACACCGGCCGGGTGGTCGCCGCGCGAACAAAGGCACACAGCTGTGAGATTGAAACGTCTGTGACAGCCAGTTCAGGGCCTACGGCCTACCTCACCGTCGAACGCAGCCGTCTCTACACCTGAGCAAGAGCTAATAAAAAACATCGTGGATGTGTGCGGCGTAGATAGTCGTGCTACTGCACAGAAACGAGCTGTCATAGAGACTACAAAAAGACAGTAATCGCCTATGATGACTCTGCAAAGCCGTGGACATGCAACCAATTGTGGCCCTAGTGAGTAATGCCACATTGATTTTGAACAGTGGCTATAATGAATATAATGACTATGACTATAGACCTCATTTCCACCGAGAGGTCACGACCGCGAGACTGTGACGTAAAATGACGTAAAACACTCTTTCTTTCCTTGCTTGGTCATTCCTTATGTTTCAGTGCCTCCTTATTTCATAGCTTCTGAGCGCTCCCAAGGCTCCAATCAATGTTTGCTGTTCTCTCTGTCTGTCAAATCTCGCCTTATCCTGACCTTGGCATGAGCAATGGACATATTCGAGCTCTGTTTATTTCACGTCCCTTATCTTCCTAAAATTTGGGTCGTGAACAGAGCTATCTTGTCCACCTCGCCATTAATCTACCTTATAAACTCCACTAAACTGATGCCCAACTGCATGGTATTCCTACTGGCGCGTTATAGGCCTTGTATACAGATCACCATCCATATCGGTCTGAACTGGCCGGGTTTCTGCAGGCCATGCACTGGCCGAGGCGATCGGTTACTGTCCGGGCAGGCCACGCGGTCGGCGGTGTCCGCCGGGTCGTCTGCTGGCAATCTTCGACACGAGCGATTGCTGATCGGAGCACTCGGATACAGTCACTGCAACATCTGGTCTTGGGCCGTCCGTAAATGCCGACTATACTCCGTTCTAAAGCGGCTGTTCAAACTAAAGAGATACGCTGGTTAGGCTGTCATGAGGCATGGCAGAGACCGGGCCGTCAATGAACCTGGAGCTGAGTCTGTCCGTCTCTTATAACGTCTCGGTAGCTGTGGAGTCCGATCATTAAGCAGCCTCGACTTTTTAGTGGCTCATTAAATATGTATTTATATGCTCGGTGCCTCTGATACCTATACAGACCGGACTCACATCACATCCCGCTCGCTCACATCACCGGGGTTGCAGCTCACATCCCTCTCGGATGGCTTCGGGCGGCGCTGTCAGCGAGGCTCCACTCGTATGCCGTTCCCAGTATCACTGAACCCGGCGTCCCCGCAGACTTTGAACATGGTAATGACCTCTGGGTGGCTGCAAATGCTAAAGCATTTGTCGATGGCCGCCGACTCCCCCCCCCCATGCGGCTCAACTCGGCTGAGATATTTTCAGTTGTGTGTCGGACGTGACGCGGCTTTGGCCGGCTCCAACTCGGGAATAATTCCAGAAGTCAGTGCCGGCGGCTCTGCGGGGCTCTGGCCGCGGCACTCAGCCCTGGCCCGCCTGTTTATTTGTCGGCCGCTGAGACATGACACCGACCGCGGTCCAAGTGAAGTGCTGGGCCGTGTTCCGACGCCACTCAACTGGCAAGTTGTGCTCGTCAACTCATGTTCTCGTAAATCGCAGCAAGTGGTTCAATTCGACCAATTGCTGTGGTCCATAAAGGTCACCTCTGTTCCAATCAACGGGAGATAAGCCGTGATCTGAAGCCTAAGAGACGGAAATGGAATATTCTGTGAAAGAAACTGATCGGTGTACACAATGCCAATTGCGCAATGCACATGATTGTTATGTAGATATAGCTTTAATTACTCCTGGGTTCTTGTCGTTGCAGCGAGACAAATCGACTATAGCCGTTTTCACGACGGTCTATCCGGCGAGTGCACCTAATTTGACCAAATCTGCACCTAATCTCTTTTACAGAGAACATCTTCATTTTATGAATTTTTTTCAGTGTTTTAATCGATGATGCTCTCTGATAATACGACAAAGAAAGCATATAAGCAATTAGTGTAACCATAACTGATAGCTACTAAGAGACACACTGAACCTGCTTTGCCCAAATCTGCACCTGATCTGCACCAGATGTGCACCAAGTGTGTACCAGATGGCCGTCATGAAAACGGCTTATATGTATTTGTCTCGCTGTAGGTCAAAGTGCTGCGCTATTGACCGATGAATTACGATGCCTCGGTTCTCGGTAGTTCGGCGCACATTCATTGCAAACGAATGTTGCAATATATTTACATTTAGTGCATGATTTATCAACCTTCAGCGACAGTTACGTGTGCAAAGGATCTTGAGTGGAGTTGAATGATCTGCAACAGCGTGGCACAAAATAAGTGTGCAGACTTGGAATGGCAGAGTTAGCCCTTTAGATTTCAGCGAAGTTCATAATTGTCATGTGATATTGTCAATTGTCATGTCATGTGATATCGCGGTTGAAAGTATTGGCTCTTATTGGCCAAACTGATCATTTATCAATGCTAAGCAGTTGAAAAATAACGATACGCCCGTTAACCGTCCCAAAGCATAAGTATATTTACAACACCACTGTTGATCGATTGCTGTAAATTGATGTTAGGGCATTTTTTTGTAGTTATTTTTTGGTCTACAAACTGAAAGTCTGAAAAGTCATCTATTTTAAAATTATGTTTCCTTATCGTCGGCATTCAGTGACGATTCTTTTGGCATAGCTGCGAACTTCGGGTGATCAAATATAGACGCATTTCTAGATCCTTATTAGGGAATTATTTTTGGGTAAGTTACTGTAGGTGTGGATGATATAAGCGAGAACTAACGTCGATCAGAAGGCTGGCCATGAAGCGGTGTCATCACTCGTCTTACCGGCCGCTCGGTCTGGCCCCTCCCCTGTGCGTCAGGACTACGAGCTGGACATTTACCTGCGGCAGCAGTGGCTGGACGAGCGTCTCAGCGTGCCGGGAGACCCCAACCAGATGCTCATCGTCAGCAGAAAGAACGTCATCGATCAGCTGTGGACACCCGACCTGTACTTCCTCAACCTCAAGGTGTGAACTAAGCACGATCGGCTTCTCCAAATAAACAAGGTGGCATATAGATTTAAAATATAACATTATTGCGATATACCTACCGTATTCCGAATCACTTGCTAAGAGGAACCTCTCAGTATTTACTATTTATTGCACTGGAAGCGTCAATTTGAGCAGCTTACACATTAACAATTACGCTGTGCCACCATTCATCGAACATTTCAGTAGCTTACGAGTAGATAGCTGACCTAAGCGGTGAACGTTTCCGCAGGACGCCAAATATCACGACGTGACGATGCCAAACGTGCTGATGAGAGTTTACCAGGACGGGCAGGTCTTCTACAGCATACGGTGAGTACTTGTTTTTATTAGGATAGGCCCAATAAGGCTAAATTACAGGATAAACATAGATAATATTCCCACAGGTTTCATTGTACGGTGAGCTTTATGCAATATGCAAATATACAAAGTAGCGCAGTTCATTCATCTTCACATTTCTGTTAATTTATGGCTGTTGGACGTTTGCAGGCTGAAGCTGTCACTATCCTGTCAGATGGATCTGCAGCGCTACCCTCTGGACTCTCAGCGCTGTGACATTAAGCTGGCCACGTGTGAGTAACTGTGCGTACCCCGCCGACCGTGTGTAAACCCGGGCGATTGTGGGTCGCAGCGGCTTGGATTGGCACCGTGCCAAGTTACCGACATCGGGGAGCTGAGATTTGAGCTGAACGAACCCACCATGGCGCGATCGCTTCTGTTTGGTATCTAAGCTTGAGGACAGCTAACGATTGGAAAATCGACTGGAGAAACGTTCACGCACTTTTTGGTGCGGATAATACGTTTCCTTGAAACACAGATTCCTTCTGACATTATATGAGCAATTCACGAAAACAGATTACATTAAACGGACTTTGCTTCCCTAGCCGTAGGAAAGTTACACTCAGCATATCATTTGCATCCCCTGCAGCTTGCGAGGAAAGTCACTCTAATTGCCACTTATTTAATCAACAGGGCGAAAGTAAATCTAGCAGGTCAATAGCAATGCTAATTCTTGGCGATGTAATTAAGTTGGCAATATTGGATTCGGTATTCATACCTTGTTTTTACGAGCTTGCACATTGCACGATGAACAACTCACATGTTGATGTTAGGGCCGAGTTACGCAAAGAAAGATATTGTAACTTGCGAGTTGTTATTTTTTCAAGTTCTTAATTGAGTAGAGGCTAAATAGTTGCCAAGGCGGCTTTTTGCTTGGCCACTCAACTCATCGTGGAAAAAAGCTCGATTGACTTAGCGGCTGTCAGCCTTATCTTTCTAATCCCATGATAGCGATGCACTCAGCAAAAAGCGCGCAACAGCTGACAGCAGGGGTCGGTCGTGTGATCCCTCTCGGCTGAGTGGCGCCGGGCCGACAGATGGACGGGGAGGGGCGCATATCACCCCTCTGTCTGGCCTCTGAGAGACGGATGGGGGCTGACCCGGGGCGGCCGCCCCCGCCCGTCAGAGCGCGCTCTCCATCCGTCAGGAGCGGCGCAAGCGGCCCTCTGAGGCTGTGCCAGCCGACACCGGACTGCGTGGCCGACAGCCGACGGCGTGTCGCATTGCAGAGCGGCGCGACAGGCCGTCGGCGGCTCGGCCGGCTCAGTCCAGAGTAGGCCGGTCGCCACGGTCGGCTGGCAGCCGCATGGCCTGTCTCCGGAGAACACGATTGCTCTGATCCCGCTGACTGCCGCGGAGGATGGATGGTTTGAGTGCCGGAGAGCCGCGTCGGTGAGTGTCGGCCGGCGCGGCACCCACCTGCGATGGATGACGTCGGAGCGGATGACGTGGGATTGGATGATGGCGCCGGCAGACGGCAGCAGGACGAATGCCAGACAGCGACACAAAGAAATGCATTAGTGCAGACCCGATTCGTCAACCACGTGATGATCAATTCTGACAGGCCGATGGGTGCTGACAGGACTGAATTGCCAGCTGAATGGGCCAAATGTTTTTGGCAATGAGTTTGGTTTAGATATGATCTTACAATTGATCGTTGGCATAAGACATCGGCGAATGCATATCAGTTTCAGAACAAATATCATGAATTTCGTCTCATAGAGCGAGATCGAACGGAAAGCGGACAAGATGACCGAGACAGCGTTATGTCGTCGGATATTACCGCGAGTTTTTACTGCCAGCCGAGTGATGAGTAGCACAGGACACTGAGTCAGATCCATCGAGCTCCGAGCTCGAAATATTGAAATAATAAGAAGACCGGGCGGCCGCTCATTAAGGTTCCGTCGTATCTTGCAATGATTTTTTTTTTTTCGGTCTCGAGCTAACTACACTACACGCTTGGGCTAGCTTTTGATGACAATGCTAAAGCGCCGAAAAGAATACCAAGATGCTTAATAGACCCTTATACAGACCTCGAGACATGCCATTGCCTAGGGCCTACAGCCTAACCATGAAATAAGTAGGTAAAATTGTCTTGAAGTTTGTGATACCTACTTATTACATTTGCCTTAAACGTTAACCCATATCAAAGTGTCTGGTTGCAAGTGAAGTAGAGTGCACGGTTACGAAGCGTCAGGCATTTAACTTTTATTTCATTTCGCAAATAATCGTCTACACGCGGCTGAAACTGAAACGGAGAAGCAGGACTGCCGTGGGAGTACTCACACCCTGCCGTGGTATACTGTACCGCAGTACACTCGAGCCCGGCGGCACAGCCTATACCACAGGCGGACTGAGCCGCTCAACAGACGGGGCCGCGGTGCGGCGGAGCGCGTGAGCAGCGCGATATGCTTTTACATAACGTCGTTTCCCGTGAATATGTCTTCTGAGAAAATAGACAGCATGTGTGTGTGTGTGTGTATTGAATTATACTGCTGATAGTTACTTTCTCTTTATTTTGTGACTGGCACTGGAATATACATTTAGACGGTAAATAAGCTGGCAACGATAAGCATGAAAGGAATACCGCATTTAGTTACTGTTATTAGGTTACACCACATATCAACGGAGGACGTGCATCACTATGATGTATTGTCAATTGATGCACAGTGTGTAGGTATATAGAACGCTGGTGGGCGGTGCTGTACATCATACGAGAGCAGGATATCATTATCGACATGCATCGATCTCTGTAGCCGAATGGACCACTGGAAAGAAACTGCAGGTTCAAATTTCAATAGCGTGGTGGACCGACGCGATGGAGGCCAGCTTGCTGGAGTGGGATATTTACAGTATTTTCAGGAAGGCGAGGTTAAACTCGGGTGCATGAGTGCAGTAACAAGTAACACTATCGGCTTTATCGCCCGTGCTGACGGAATCGCTAATTAGCCAATCGTGTGTTGTAAACATTTGTGCTTGAAATGTGCCGCAAACTCTGGGAGCCAAACAAGGTCTCACAGGTTTTGGGAATAATATGCATCCGGTGAAGCATAGGGTTCCTGATAACAAAAAAAAAAACGAGTGCAAACAGTTTTGTCGTCGTGGGTCTTGCCAAGTTTACAGGGTAGCTTGAACGCCCAGTTTACATCCTGTTTACGAATTTGAGCCTCAACATTAGGCTTCCTTTTGCTCATCGGCTATAAATATTTAGCGTTCAGTCATACACAGTCCAAGCTAATGTCTCACAGCTCAAAACCACAACGGCAAGAATATAGCCAGTGGGAGTATACCTGAAGCATTGAAACAACAAACTCTTCCTAAATCTCGGGTTTGATTGTTGTATAGGTACATACATGCTATTCGATGGAAGTTAGACAGCGCTGCAGCTGGGCGTCGAAGCTATTACACTTACAGCCCACAGGTCACTGAGGTCATGAAGGCCGGCTAGGTCACCATACAGAGGCTCCAGCCATAACCCGTTGTGGGTCGCTGGTGGCAGTTCCAGCCTACCTGCGCGGCCCCTGACATGACACCGGGAACTAACGACGCTGAATGTCATTCATCAAGCGGCCTATTTGTTGCACGGATCGGATCGCTAGCGGCGGCACAAAGACGCATGTGTGAACACACTTGGCTACCTGAGCACGTCGGCAGCTGACGCGTGAAGACGGAGGCCGTTCGAATGGACGAGGGCGGGGGGGGGGGGGGGGGATAGCTCGTGAGGGGAAGGGAGTGTAGACCAATGGCGGTCTCACTGGTGGGGCTGGGAGGGGATGGGCAGTGACTACGGGGTGTGTAGTGCATTTTGAGTTAGTTCAGCAGGTATTTCCAAGCACATTTATTTCCAAGAAAATGTAAGTTTCCAGCATTTATATACAGACTTCCTAGTTCCTCGAACACACAGTTTCATTACACGAAAAGCATTGGTGAATTGTTGTGTTGTGCCAAATGAAAACGGTGACTAACGGTGACTAACTATGGAAACGGTTAGAAACGATAACGAGCCACGACTCAGCTGTGCTAGAATATTCATTGCGTTGCGTGGTCTGTGCCCCATAGCAGGTGCTAATGTGTATTTGACAATGGAGCAGCTGCTATCTTTTATCCTTAAAAGAAAAGATAAATTGCCTCCTTCTATTCTGTTTTTGTCCTATGCCAACAGTATAAATCCTATTGACCTTAATTTGTCGTGGATAGTAGATAAGTATGTAAAAGGGTTTCATGCTCAATTTCGTCTTTTCAGACCAAGTTTCAAACAGTCGGCTTCCATCCCTATCCACACTTTCGTCGGGTTGTGGCCATAGGTCGATGCTCGCAGCTCGCACAACTGCCTGGCTAGCTCAACCCGTTTGCTGCAGACTGTTTCCAGTCGTTTACCAGCAACATCCCAGCGCTTAGGGCCTTTCCAGTGTGGTTTTCAGTGCTTACATGTCCCGGAAAATGTGCACCCTTGCAGTAAAACAGAAGACCAAACGTGAATAGCCAACATTAACGAAGCGCTTTAAACCCATAAAGTACATATATCGACCTAAGGGAGTGCATGGTATGGTCATGACTGGTTCGGCGTCTCCTTCAACGACGTTCAGCGGTCGCGAATGTTGCCGACCATGAGATTCACGGATATCTATACCACGCTTCGCATCTTTATCTTTTTTATTCTATATAGATATACTAGATCTGACTGTATCTAATTGCATTGCTCCAGACGCACACCCGACGTCGGCGCTCCTGTTCGCCTGGTCACAGGGCAACAACGGCTGTCAGGGCATCTGCTACGACGAGCTGGAGATCCCTCAGTTCACCCTGACGGGCGTCAGAGACATGAAGAACATCACGCTCAAGTACCACACCGGTGAGTGAAGCACTCGGTTTAGCTGTTGCCTCTTCATGTTCTTAAACGTTCATCTTTTCAGGCTGGCTGACTGGAAATCTGGATGGTCGCCTGGCCAAACTGACCTCTGGCTAATGGTCGGCACTTTATGACTCAGTTGCAATCGTAATGCAACCCGTAAATCTTTTAGAGCTTCAGCCATTGTCCTACGATATGACATTAGAAATATGGCATTTATTTATGAATTTAATGGGGTGTGGACTTGAAATTATAATGCCTAGCGCCTGAATATAAACTGTACATAACGTTTTAGTAACGTCATGCTATGTTGCCGACAGGCGACTTTAGCGCCCTGTCGGCGTCCTTTGTGCTGGACCGCCAGAACGGCTACCACATCCTGCAGACGTACATCCCCACCATGCTGATGGTGTGCATGTCGTGGGTCTCCTTCTGGCTGGAGCAGACGGCCACTCCGGCCCGGTGAGTGACCTCCGAGTACCAATCGGACAGGACTCGCTGCTCAGTGCTTCTGTGTGCCAATTCGGGTGGGATACGCTGGTGGTGGCCTTCAAATACCAATCGGACGGACATCTGGTTAGAGGCCTCTTCATTACCAATACAAACAGACATATAACACATGGCAGCTAAAATATACAAACGACGTACAGACCGCCTCATATACCGCGATTGTGTACTTACGCCATGTCCCTTGCATTCCTCGAATATGAATCGGAGGTTTTTCATTATGTATACTTCAAACATTGACAGACAGGTGCAGGCTCTTTGAAGTTTTCTGAGTCGCCATGACTGTCAGAATTACAGCTGACATATAACATAGTTCTGGATGCTGGTTATGACCAAGATGCTGTCTGCCGGGACTTACGGATACGGGATATATAAACCTGCTGTATGTTATCAAAGTAGATCAGTTTTTGTAGCCGTCTGAAATATTTTGGTTATTTAACGAGCTATGTGACTAGCCATAGTGTAGTTGCTGAGCTCACTTAAACGCCTGTGTCTGCTCCCGCAGTGTAACCCTGGGCGTGACCACGCTGCTGACTCTGACCTCACTGGCGGCCGGCGTGCGCAGCGAACTGCCGCCCGTCTCCTACCTCAAGGTGCGTACGTCTTAACGACTGCGACAGAACACCCGGGCGGGAAGGTCAGGGCCTGGGTCTTTGCTCATGTCTTTTAAACTAACCGAAAAATTATTGTCGTTTGCAAATATGCGACCTCCCGTATTTTATATTTTAGTGCACCTGCTTTGGACAGTGACACTGGTAGTCATCTCGCTTTATTATTACTATTTTTGCCTTTATGCGAGCAGTTTAAGGCCAATGTTTTATTTATTGAATTTTCACTTTAAACCTATTGTGTGCCCGTTTTGCCGCAGGCTATTGACATCTGGATCGGCACGTGCATGATATTCGTGTTCGGCGCGCTGCTCGAGTTTGTGCTCGTGCACTACCTGGCCAAGAAGCGCAAGGTCGAGGGCGACCGGCGCAAGAGCGTCAAGGAAATGTTCTTCGCCAAGGAGGAGGCCGAAGCGCTGGGCGGCGGCGCTCCGCACGGTCCCACCGGCCCCGCCAAGAAGGTGACGCACATCCTGCAGGCCAAGGCGGTGGACCGCGTCTGCCGCGTCGTCATCCCGCTCATCTTCTTCACGTTCAACTGCATCTACTGGAGCCTGTACGCCAGGGGCGACTAGAATAGCTGACCGCCACCCGCTCAACTGCCGAGGCCACGGATCGTGTCTGACGCGTATTGGGGTGTTGGATATTACTATTTACTGGTGCCATGGATCAGAAATACAACTCCATCCATGACTCAGCTGTAATGTAGCAAGAGGTACCTACTCGTTTTTACCTCAGAGTTTATTGTAATTTTATGAGTGTATGTGCGGCATGCGCTCGTTCATTGGGGAAAAAAAAAATTATAATAGGAAAAGTGTCCCTGGACTATGATATATGTCATATATTCTTTGACAGTGCTCAAACCTTGTAAAACAAGTGCGGTACTTGTTTTACACCGATAAGCCGCTTACGATATGTGCGCACAATAAACATCATATACATATATACGTAGGTATACGCAAGGCTTAGGAAACGTTGCAAGGTCTCTTCTCGTCATTTACATCTATTAGAAATCGAGCATCGGCAGAAATGTGCCACTGGCTTCTTAAATTGTATCTGTCAATTAGTAGATAATTGTTAGTGTTATTGATCACTTTTTTGGGGGGTTTGTCTAGTGGCGCGGACATGGAACGCAATTTGTCTACGAAGGTTGGAAGAGCGAGAGAGAGAGAGAGAGAGAGAGAGAGAGAGAGAGAGAGAGAGAGAGAGAGAGAGAGAGAGAGAGAGAGGGAGAAAGAGAGAGATACATATTTGGAGTGGATCCGCTTGCTTTCATCACCGTAGGTAATAAAATTCCCAGATGTGTGATGATGACGATGTTGCAGATGGCTGCATTGGACCCATATAGGACCCCTACGAGTAGGGAGCCAGACCGTCTGCTCCGGAAAGCAACTGGTGCCTTCTGCGTGTTGGAACCCGAGGGGGCGGGCGGATCATTGTCGTATGATCGGAAGGAATGCTACAACAATAAAAGGTACATTTCATGACCCACTTTCTTGTCTTGCTCATGAATTTTAGAAATCGCCGCTCACTCAGCCGCAGCTGTCTATAAATGTTGCAGTGACTGATGTCTGACTGTATGACATTATTTTGGCCTTGGGCTCGCAATGACACCTTAAGTCAATAAAACAGCATGTGCATTTTACTTTTTTGTCGCGTTTTGTTTTGTCAGCAGGATAAACGTTGCATAAAGACATGAAACGGAACTGCAGTAATACTTATGCCGACCAGCTTCTATGTCGGGGTCGGAAACTCTGGCCAACTCATAGGGGTATGTATAGGTTTTTTACACTTAACAAAGAAATACATAGGACAGAAAAGTCAATTGAAGACAATTTGTAACACTATTTCTAATTAATTCTTCTTGAGGGATTAAGTAAAACATTACATGGATAAACAAACCAGAAAACTAGCTCCAAGAAACGCTTGTAAAAAACGGGTTGAGATTGCCGCCCGGGGCGACCTCCATGCACTGGTCGGTGTTACCTCCTCCCCACTCACCCCCGACTCCCGAAGGCAAAGACCGCCAGCTGACCGTGGCCGACTGAACGCCTCGGGCGGCGCAGACATTTGCCGGAAGGAGTGTCACCGCTCAGCCGGGCCGCGACTGTGAAGACGGTGGTCATTTTTGCGCTGTGTTGTTGCTCTGGTATAGCGACATGCGTGTTGATCCCTAAATACAAACAGAGCATTTATTGTCATGTAATCCCACTGTTTTTTATGATTCGCAACTTACTTACCCAATGCAAGTCACAGTGTACGTACAGCCCACCGCTAAAGTAATGTAGGATTTTACCAATCTCAACGGTTGGCTTTGACTGGCGATTGTTTAACCCTCGCGGGCCCGGGGGGGCGTTTTTCGCCCCCCCCCCTGGCGAATATTTGCGATAGCTCCCGAACGCTTAGGGATAGGAAAACGAAACTTTCAGTACCTTTTCTCCCATCAATTTGACATCTTCTGAAGTAAAAATTTTTGACCTAGCCCCCTCGATGACGTCACAAGGTCGATTTTTCTAGACCCCTGCAAGGCAAACATCGGCGTCACAGACGCGAACTTCAAATAGCTGCTAAAAATAGAGTTTTAGAGATAAAGACAAATTACGAGCACGGTTGTGTAGCGTTTGACCTAGAGAAAAATAAAAAAATAGTTTTGGTGACCTGAGGTCAGAGGTCAGGTCAACGACCCCGAAATGTGGTTTTAGTTTTTCGCAAATAACTTCGACAAAAATGGTCCTAGAGCTACGGCAGTGGTACCATCGCATTTGCCGTGTCAAGCCGCGTCGAATGATATATATTTTGTTTGGAAAAGGTCAAGTTTTATGTTGACGTCATGTGACCTCGAATGACCTTTGGTTGACCTTGACACATGAAAGGTCGTTTATGATGGATTTGTACCCGCTGATCACGAATCTGGCATCCATTTTCCTCTAAGCCTTCATTTAGAGCTTCCGGATGGCAAAATTGTCTTATTTATTATTACTAACTTGAATTAGTGAAATAGCCTCTAGCAAGGATACCTACTCTTCTGTGACATTGACCTTTGAGCAGCCTTGTATCGTAAGATGAACCACAAATAGGGAACTGATAAGCCTCCAAACATTTCAAAACGTCTTGGAAGATAGCACGCAAGATGTACGAAAAAGTGCAAAGTTTGAGGTCAATTGTGAGCGTGACCTTGACCTTGACCTTTGATTTTGAGCACATATTCGGAATCCTCAGATTCTGTTCTTTCGTTTGATACCCAATTTTGCCGGTTTGATGCATCCTGCCATCCTCTAGAAGGCTTAATTTGAGATCACTAGGCCTACACATGTGCCTACACATGTGCCGGTTTTTGCCTTTGACATTGACCTCTGACCTTGAAAATTGACCTGAGGTCAAAAAATTTAGGTGCTTTAGAATCGTCTCGTAAGGACCTTTCGTTTGGTATCGCTTTTGTTTCCGTAGCTTCCTTATTTACGGAGTTAGACAGGGGGGGCGAAAACGCCCCCCCCGGGCTGCGGTGGTTGGGATTACCCCCCGGGCCCGGCCGGGTTAATGCGGAGTGATCGAAAAGAAGATGTCAATAGCTAAAGTTGCAGCTGCAAGGGTGACGATAAATATAAGCTACATTCAAAGTTTCATTGTAGTCTGGCTAATCGTTCCTAAGCTTCAGAAGCAGAACATACCCATGACTGAAACCCCACATTACTTCTGCTGTGGACTGTACGTATGCTTAGAGACCTTTATTTTGGCCGGGTCGCTACTAGAGTAGGTCCATAGTAGACAGACCTGTGTCCTGTGATGGCTGAGTCGGCTGTCTCTGACCCGGGCAAGGTCATGTCACGTGATCACTGACCAGGCGCCGGCAAGGGGGCTGGCTGGCGAAATGCATACTGTCGGAGCCAGAGCATAGGCTAATTGTGTCTCACCAAACACGTGAAATGCTGAAGATGTGGTGTCGCGAGCTGCTCCCCCCTGCCCCGGGGCCTGGCGACGCCATTTGCTCCCCCCTGCCCGGGGGCCTGGCGACGCCACTGGCGGCGCCGGCGCGCAGACGCGGGGTTCGAGAGAGTCGGCCGCCGGCCCGCGCGGGGTGCGGTTGCGGTAGTAGCGATCGGTGTTTGGCGCTCTGGGAAGTTTAACGCAATGCGGTTTTGGTTGTGAATAAAGAACTCACGTTATAACATCCTGGCGACGAGGATCAGATCAAGGTGAAGCCTTGGAGCTGTGATTGCGAGTGATGGCGAAACGGGCCAGTGATCAGTGCGCGGTGGTCAGCGAGGGCGGACAGGCCACGGACGGTGAGGGCGCAAACGTTGCTTAGTACGAATGCTTAGTGCTTAGTATTGCTTAGTATTTTTATTTTCGCGCTGCTGCTGGTAGTGTGCCTGTCGCGCGGCGGCCGTTGTCCTGGCAGGGTTTCCCATGTGATCGCCGAAATTCGTGGCGGCCATGATGCCTCGGCAGTGTGGTGTGCGTGGCGCATGCGTCGGCGTCCTGCACGCTGATTGGTCGGCCGGGGGTGACGCGCAGCTGTGGTAGCGCGTGTGATTGGCCGATCGGTGCGGCGGAGAGGGCCTCAATGCGGTTTGAGGCGCCTGGTCCCCGAAGCGGGCAATTTCGGCGGGAAGCTGGCGCGCGGCCGGGCGGTGTGGGGCGAGTGCGCATGCGCGCGCGGTGACGTGCGTGTGACGTCACTACCACGTGACGCCCCCGTCGAGAAAAGCGCGGGAAACCGCAGCTGCAGCGCCAAGTACAGGCGCAGGGCGGCGCGGTGAGCGGTGACCGGTCGGCGTGAGCGGTGGCCGACCGGCGTGTGCGGTGACCGACCGGCGAGTGCGGTGACCGGCCGGTGTGAGCGGTGACCGGCCGGTGTGAGCGGTGACGCCCGGCTGCGGGCCGACCGGTGGAGCGGCTGCGGGCCGCCGGTGGAGCGGCTGCGGGCCGACGGTGGAGCGGCCGCGGGCCGACGGTGGAGCGGCTGCGGGCCGACGGTGGAGCGGCGGCGAGCCGACCGGCGGAACGACGTGCTGGTGAGAGCGCGGCGGCACGATGGATCCAACGGGGATGCAGATAGTGTCTGCGGTGCCGTACCGTCCAGGCACGGACTTTGAAAAGTGGCTCCGGGCATTGGAGCGGTATATGATCGCTGTTGACATTCAAGGGCCTGCGAGACGGTGTGCAGTCCTGTTGCACCTGGTGGGCCCGGACCTCGCCGATGTCAGCGATTCACTGCCTGAGGAGGACGCCGAGAGACAGGGAGAAGACGAGTTTGCTCGCCTGAAAAGGAAGCTAACACGGTATCTGGTGCCGAAGAATAATGTGGTGGCGGAAAGAGGAAAGTTTCAAGGGATGAAAATGGAGCAGGAAGAGAGTCTGGAGGAGTTCCTGGGCAGACTACGGACGCAAATCCTGCGCTGCGGCTACGAGCCGGCGCAGGTGGACCGTGAGTTGAGAGACCGATGCGTCCTGGGCAGCCGAGGTGAGCTACAGAGGAAGCTGGTCCGGGAGGCGGCGCTAAAGGGTGACGACCTCTCTCTGGAGGACGTCCGGCGGACGGCACGGGCGCACAGGGACGTGATGGATCTGACGACGCGGCTGTCAGGGGCGCCGGCGCCGGCCGAGACGGACGGGGAGGCAGTTCACCTGGTGCGACGCCCGCAGCGGACGGAGAGGGTCAGGCCGACCGAGCCCCCGGGGCCAGGCACGTGCTTCCGCTGTGGCGGCCGGGGCCACTGGCGGCGCCACTGTCCCAGCGCGCAGTCGCGGCAGGCCGGCGCGCGGCCCCGGCAGGACGGTGCGCAGCCGCGGCAGGACAGCGGGCAGCCACGGCAGGACAGCGGGCAGCCGCGGCAGGCCGGCGCGCGGCCATGGCGGGCCGGCGCGCCGCGCTGCTATCGGTGCGGAGAGCGTGGGCATCTGCAGCGTGACTGCGGCAAACAGCGAACTGGCGTGAAGCTGGTTCAGGACGGCGACCAGGCTGACTGGCAAGTCAGCGCCGTGCAGCCTGCCGCAGCTGAGTGGGCGACGGTCAGGGTGAACGGCCAGGAGTTCACCATGCTGATCGACACTGGCTCACCGGTGACTATAATCAGCGCGGAGACTCACATCCCCGGTCTGACGCTGCGGCCGAGTGAGCTGCACCTCACGTCATTCACCGGCCAGCAAATCCGTCTGCGAGGCGAGGCCGACGTCAACGTGGAGACGGACGGCCGAGCGACACGGCTGCGACTCGTCGTGTCCGACATGGGCTCTCACCGACCTCTCATGGGACGAGAGTGGATCAAGGCGCTGAGGACGGCGTCGGGTCTGGAGACGCTGAACGTGTGCCCGGTGGCGACTCAGCCGACGCTGAAGGAGGTGATGGACAAACACCGTGAGGTGTTCAAAGAAGAACTGGGCAGAATCCCGGTGAAGGTGGCGCTCAGACTGAAGGAAGGCGCCAAACCGGTCTATCGACGCGCCAGACCGGTGCCGTTTGCGCTACAGCAAGATATCGAGCGGGAGCTCGACAAGTGGCTGGATCAAGGGATCGCCGAGAAGGTGCCTCCTGGACACTTCTCCGGATGGGGTACGCCGCTCGTACCCATCCCCAAGAAGGACGGCGTGCGGCTGTGCGCGGACTATCGGATCACGGTGAACCCGCAGCTGCAGCCTCTGAAGTATCCG